TACTTTCAAAGACAGTTCCTAACAAATATAAGACAACTCCTGACGAATATGCTAAAGAAGTTGAAAATGACGACTAAGCATTTCTATACCAGCGTAAACTGTCATGTAAGGTGGCATGTAGTCTTTACTTTGTCCCGTTGTTTGCGTATATCCTGAAACGCGATGTGTATGGCTTCCTCCTACCTCAGTGTTACTCCAGTAACAATTTATAGCAAACTTAACGTCCTCTTTAACATCAATATCCTTTACCTTTTGTCATTCCTGACCAATCCCAAAATCTATGACTATGCAAACCTGCTTCAGATGTAGTTAAACTTACGTAGTGACTGTGCGCAGGTAATTTGCACCTGAAATCGTTTTAACTTCCACCTGTTTCCTTTGAAGAGTTTGCACAATACAAAAACCTGTCGACTATTTGAGTCCAAGTTCCAAAACCAAGTACTACTTCTGGTCTGGTAGAGTTCATTGACGTGTAAATAGAACCTATAGGATATACTGTTTGAAGTATTTCTGTCTTTAACGTTTGAAGCTCTGTTTTGTCAGCTTTTTATCATATATAATCTTGAGCAGTGAATTTAACTTTGTTTTCATCCTCCATGACATAGACATTTCTACATCTAATGTATCTCATCGTTGTTATGTTGTCTTCATCCGATGTTAAACCTTGTGGAATTGGAAAGTTAGGAGGTTTCCAATTTAAATACATCCCCACCAGTTTCTTCAACCGTTTCCTTCAATATTTTCTATACCAACAGTTGCGAAGAAATCGTGTGTATGTCCAACGTCACTTTTCCTGTTTAAGGTTTCTTGTAAGTTTGTAATATTTGCAATGGTATGTGTATGAGTCTTTTTAGAATATTCTTTGTCAGCTCTTGTCACTTCACTTGACATTTTATTGTCAACATATGTTTTATCCGCTTTGTCATCTAACATTGCTGGTAGTTCATCTACGTCATAGATGTTATGTGTATGGTGTTTTTGTGGGTATGTTCTATCTGTCCATGCGAGAATATAGTCTCTTGTTGCATCTACATACTCTTTGTCAGCTTTGTTGTCAATATCTGCTTTCAAAAGAAGTTCATCTATAGGTTTCTCGTTTAAAGTTCTTTTTGTTGATTTATACAAACAGTATGGTTCTTACTGTCTTGAAACAGAAACTCATCTGTCATTGGGTTTATCGTCAGTTTTAAGTTTCCTTCTTTCAATGACTCAGATATCTTAGAATAGTTTGAAAAGTTTGTTGTGTTCTTATTTAGAGCTTGCAAAATGAGTTGTCGGTTGTGTTGTATTTCTCTCATAGACGCTGTTTCTTTCGACATTTTTATTCTAGATAAAATATGCTTCCAATAGAAAAAGAAAATTCAAGAGTTGCTACAACTAAACCATTAGATGAACTTTTTACTAATGTCGGTCAAAAGTTTGAGACAGAGACGTAAAGCATGAAGGCTATCGTTTTGACTACCCATTAAGATGGCTAAGAGACCCATCTGTCACAAAAGCTATTGGCTTTCGTAGAATGAAGTTTGTGTCTGTAAGAAGATAAAAGTTTTCCATTTATTGTAAGGTTTCATATAGATTATATATCTGAAGGGAAACGAAAAATGTGGGAAGAAATTGAGCTAATACAAGTTGACCTTTCATCTTCTCTACAGACTGCGTTAAAAAAATATAGAAGATAAAATAAATTCATGTTATGCAAAATATGCTGATGAATATGCAAATACCGAGAGCACACTTTATGTGAGAATTGTATATGACAAACAAAATTCACAAGTGTCATTTCAAATCTACGAAGACAATCCAAAGAAAGACGAACAAATATATACAGAATTCACTGCAATGTCATGGTATTATTTGCAAAGAATGTTAAATCAGAAAGTCGAACTTCCTTTAGCAAATATTTACAGTCGATATGCAAGAGATGAACCATATTTATTTAAAGATGTTTTCGACCCAGCTGCTATTATAGTTCATGCTTCATTTTCTGGTGCACAAAACTCTTTTTTATGCTTGGCAAATGACTTTTTCGAAAAACCTACAAAGCTATATGAACCACCAAGTGGAAGTATTTCAGACTTTCAAGTATGGTTTACAACAGATGGAAGAAAGAGAATAGTTCCATTATACCATGCGTTTTACTTAGAACTTAGTTTCATATACAACTACTATCGAACGGTAAAAATATAATTTTTTAATACGGTTGAGGTGTTGGATTTGGTTGCCATAGACTGTGGTGCAGGTTCAGGCTGTTGTATAACAGGAGCTTGTTCTTCTGGTTCAGGGTCTTTAGGTATAATACCAACAAACTGACCTACTCTTTTACCAATATTTTTGACTCCGTTCCAAATTCCTCTTCCGACAGATTTTATTCCATTCCATATACCTCTTCCAACATTTCGAAAGAAGTTTCCTATTCTTCCAAAGAAACCCATTTTACTATATGTAAAAATCTAATGTCCGCCTAGTCTCTTACGTTTCCTGTTGAGTTCCATAGCATTCTTTAACTGGAGCTCATACATTCTGTTTCTCCTCTGGTAGAAAACATATTCTGGGTCAACTCCTGTGTTCGCGTCATCTGCATAGAGTTGTTTATATCCCACTTCGGGGTTTGTATAAAACTCTTTCCATCTCATATTTGCATACCATGGTGGTAAGCCTAACGCAGCGTCATTTGACATGGCAGTTTGCATTTGTACATCTGTTGGCACTTGACCATAGTTTGCCATTGCAGTTTGTATTCTAACTTCATTTGGAATATTCTCTGGGTTTGGTTGTCCAGGTTGCTGTGCATTTGCTAAGTTCTGTGCGTCCATTTAATATTAGATAAAATATCTCTTACGAGTACATATACTGAACATTTGCAGGCATTGGTTCATCTTCATATTCTCTGTACTTTTCTGCCACGTCAAATAAATAAATGACACAATGGAAAAAACCTAAAACAAGTAGTCCTATTTCAAACCACATTTACTTACTAGTAAAATTTCTTTGTTATGACACTTTCTCCAGTTTATAGGACCTCTCTCATATTCTATCTTATCGTATCTAAACTCATAGTCATGTATGTCCTCTAACCATCTCATGACACTTTCCAAACCACTTTTATCGGATGTAAAGTAAAAGCATGGATGGTTATGTAAAACGTCTAAAGTTTCTAAAGAGTCTCTCAAAGTCCAGTCTACTTGGTATTGAAAATCCCATGTGTTATAGAACGGCGGGTCTACTATAAAGAAAACATTTTCCTTGTCTTTATATTTTTCATACAAATCTGTCCAATGACATCTCACAAACTCTATACCCTCAATATATTTTTCTATGTCCTCTTTGAAAACATTTGTATAGTTAAGATATAAAACTTTTGACATAAGTGTTTCAATGTCATGAACTCTTATAGCACCACTATATAATAGTCTAGCAGATATACTATCCCAGTCTATATATTCTGCTTTTTTCAAAACCTCTCTCACAATATTTTTCTTATCTAATGGTATACGTTCCATCTTACCTATAGGTATCTTTTCTTTCAACTCACTCAATATTTTGTTTGTGTCTGGTATATGTTTGAGACGGTTCATATAGTTGTCGAAGTCATTGCATATAATCTTTGAGTCTGGGAATATTGTATGACACAGATGGGATATATAGAAACTTCCACCGAACAAATCTACAAATGTTAGACCATTCGGTAGTTTCTTAAGTTCTCTCAATATAATATCTTTACATCTACTCTTATTTCCAAAGAAGGGTAACGGTGGTTTTGTAAAATTCATTTATATATAATAATAAAAATGTTTTTTCCTGAAAAGTGACAGAAAAGCGGTTTTTGACAGACGTTTTATTGTGACTTCTTCGTAAAGACTTTGTTGAGATTTCTTCGTAAATGAGTGTAAATGACCCAAAAATATATTTTAGGGTAGAAGGTTAGATATAACCTCTTTTCTAACCTCTTTTCTACCCTCTTGAATTTTCATGAATTTCTTCGTAAAGACTTTGTTAAGACTTCTTCATCTAATTTCTCATGAACTTTCTTGTCTATGTTTTGTTGAGATTTCATCGTAAAGACTTTGTTGAGATTTCTTCGTAAATGACCCTAGTAGTATATTTTTGGTGTAAATTTCATGAAAATTCAAGAGGGTAGAAAAGAGGTTAGAAAAGAGGTTATATCTAACCTTCTACCCTAAACATTATTTTTGTCTGATTTTACGATGAAATCTTGACAAAACATTTACGAAGAAGTCTTGACAAAACATTTACGAAGAAATCTTGACAAAACATTTACGAAGAAGTCTTGACAAAACATTTACGAAGAAGTCTTGACAAAACATTTACGAAGAAGTCTTGACAAAACATTTACGAAGAAGTCTTGACAAAACATTTACGAAGAAGTCTTGACAAAACATTTACGAAGAAATCTTGACAAATTCAAGAGGGTAGAAAAGAGGTTAGAAAAGAGGTTATATCTAACCTTCTACCCTAAACATTATTTTTATTGAATTCTGTATAATATTCTGAGTAATATGACAGATGTTTATATAACACTTTCTCCGGTTTATAGGACCTCTCTCATATTCTATCTTGTCATATCAAAACTCATAGTCATGTTTGTCCTCTAAGACTTCATTTATACTAAACATCTTCAGGGCTAGAAGGCACGAAGTGCCTGGAAGCCCCACTACTTTTTTTTTTTTTTTTTTTTTTTTTTTTTTTTTTTTTTGGGCACTAAAGTTTCTTTACAACGATTATTTTTTTATTCTAATTATCGTTATATTGTTATTTTTACTTGGTAACACATATGAGAGAAGGTGACTAATTCTTTCGTTATTTCACAATCTTCAGTAAAAGTTATCTTTTTAACACCTATTAAATAAACATATTAGGAAATATATGATAGATAACATTTTAGCTCAACATAACATATTGGTATTTCTGGTTAGTCAAAAATTGTATCACATGTAAGATATATTTATATATTTATTCAAATTACAATTTAATATATTAAATTACTTGGTGAAATTCAAAATGTAAGAGATTGTATCTCTCAAACTTCCAAGTCCGACTTCATTTGCTGCTACTTCAACAGTATGAAGGTATTCATTAATCTCATCCTTATTGACAGTGTTTCCGAGGTTTCCACCGTCATCTTTGCAGCTCATTGGCATCTTTCTATGAGCGACGTGGCCTTTCGGACAAGCCAAGTCTTGCATCTGGAACTGTTCTATCTTTCTGCAGGATTCCTCGAAGAGCCATCTTTCGATTACTTCTGTATCGTAGACAGCTTTGCAGATAGGACACAAGAAATTGCCTTGCAAACAATTCTGGTCACGCAAAATGTCGATATTTGTTGTATGTAAGCAATGTTTGCAAAGAACAGAAAGGATATACAAATGTAATGATGGATCAACGAATTTGGCGCGTGGATCATGATCACTGACACCTAACAACATCAAAACATTTCTCTTTGTTCCCAAAATGATCTTTCTCAACACGTTTTCGCCACTTTCTGGACATTCACAACCAGCGTTTTCATCATTCAAATTTTCCATTGCAGCGAAAATTGTGTTAAGAAGGACCAAAACATCAGATTTAGTGATATCATGAGGAGATCTGAGTGGATTCTGGAATATTTCTTCAACTCCTTGTTTGGATTTGTAGATGTTTGTTATTTCAAACATCATATCCATTCCTTTTTCTCTGATGAAACGATAAATGTTTTCAGCTTCCAAGAATTTTGTGAAATAGCGCTGTAATTGTTCTCTGAATGAAACACCAATGAAGTTTGCGATGTTCCATTCGTAAGAGATTTCTCCGTTTGCGATGCAATGATAGTTATAATTGTCAATCCAAACGAGTTTGTCGAAACTTGAAATCTCGAGGAAATCAACTCTGTTTGTGAGCTGATTCTGATTTACAGCGTTGATGGCTGATGCCAATGGGAAGTCTCCGTTGTTAACAATAATTCTTGATTGATCAGCGTAAATTACAGGGATGTGTTGTTCCTCAAATTTACTGACCATTTCATTGAAAACATTATTCAAGAACAAGCAATAAACAGAGTGTATTGCAGGGTCATAGAACACGGAATTTGAGTTGCATAACCATGTTCCAACTTGTGCAATCATTTCACTCAAAATTGAACGTTCATCTCCACATTTTTTGATCAGTTTTCCTAAGAAATCTGATAATAGCAAGAAAACGTTTTGAGTTACAACAACTGCGTCTGCTGTTGGAGCAACAGAGAAATCAGAAGCAGAAGGAGCATTGTGAGATGGCAACAACTTATCAAACAATGTCTGGCACTCGATAACAGCTGTAACTCCGAGATAAACAACTCTGATGTCGACACAATGTGACATGTAAATTCCAGGGCGATTTATCATCAACATCTTGTGCGGATCTCCTGGCATTGTGATCAACTGGTTCGAATAAGCGCCACCAATATCTGGCTCGCTGCTTTCTGAGTACCACATGATGTAGTCTGATCTGATTAATTCTCTTGCGAAAACTAAATCCAAGGCTTTCATGCAGAAATCATCAGAAATGTTTCCTAATGGTGTGGAAAGCATCAACGAATAATCCAGTTTCTGTTGGATGTTTCCATTCATTTGGATGAAGCGAGTTGTGAAATGCATGAACGCGTAATCTTGCCAGTTTCTGTGTCTTGATCCTGTTTCTGAAATGTCTGGATCGAGATTGTCATCGGAATGGAGGAAATCCAATGTGACAATCGGATATTGATGTAGAGAAATGATTCCAAGAGGACCGACCAATTGATCGAATTCCAAATGGCTCTGCAACAAAACAACGGAATTGTCTTGTCCACCAATTTTGACAAGTGTTTCATGCAAACTTCTCGCTGCTTCGTGGATCTTCGCAAATGTTTTCACGACGTATTTTGTGAGTGTTACAACACCTGTTGCATCCTTGAGATCATTAAGAGCTGCTTCTTGTAATGGTCTCAATGAAGGAGCTGAAATTTCAATGTTGTCTTTGGAGAAAACGAAAACATTTGCTTCAGCTGTTTTCGCGTTATTCGGGATGTTGACTAAAGCCAATAAACCATTTCCATGTGAGTAGCAGCTGTAGATATAGATTCTGTTCAAAGAGAAGAGTTCTGGCAACATTGCACGCCTTGTTTCCTTCAAGTCTTTGAGCTGCAATTTCAATTTCTTCGATGCAATGATTGATGTTTTGATTGCGCACAAAGCTCTGAACAAAGGAGTGACTTGTGTCTCGTAAACACCTTTGATTCCTGCAGTGTTGAAAGAGGAATTGAACTCTGCTTTGTGCTCAAGGAACTCTTCTTCTGTGAGAGTGAATTGAGTGATGACATCCGGTCTGAATTCGTGAGGAAGATGTTTTTTGACAATTTTAACTTTGTCTTTCAATTCTCTTTCGAAGAATTCAGCGGAAGCTTTCGTGGAATTGATGTAAAAGATGCGAGGAACGGAAACTTCGAGCTTCTTGATAGCGTTCCTAGCAACTTGTACGAAAACAGAGACAACACCTGGTTCAGAAGCAGGTCTGATTTCAATGACTCTCCATTCAGAAAAGCTCTTTGCCTGAATTTGTTCTTGGCTGATCAATGTCCTTGTTTCACGCCATTTCTTCTTTGCTTCAATCAAAGCCAATTGATAAGGTGTTAGATTAGTTGTGTCTCTAACAAATTTCGGTCTTTCGATCTTCTGATGTGCGATAGGAGCAGAAGTAAATTCAATCTTTGTTTGACCTCTTTTGAGGGCTTCTTCTTTTTGTTTCTGAAGAACCCAGTCTGGAGGAGGAACATTGAAATTGTTGAGTTTGATACCTTGTATCAAAGAAGGAATGACGAGAATCTTCTGGATAGCTCCGTAGAATCTCTGTGTGTAGTATTCCCAGTCAACAATGTCTCTGAAATCAGGAGATTTGATGTTTGCATCTCCACACCATCTCTGCAAACAATTAATGATGTTGTCAACAGAATCGTGGAAAATAATGACAGGAATACTTCTTAACGCGACAGATGCCGAAGTAGGAAGTCTTGAAATGATGTATTCGCATTTCAATGACCTTGAATTCAATATAGAATCACCTAAAACTTCAGCCAATCTCTTCGCTGTTGTAGAAGCTGTTGATTTTCTGTCTCCGTATTCTGTCAATGATTTTGACATTGTTGAAGATTCACTCAATAAATCAAGCAACTCGTTATCATCAATTGTTCGTCCGTGAGTTGTCAAGACATTCAAGTACTGGCGGCAGACATCGGCAACGTGATCATACACTTCTTGTCTTGTATGTCCATACATGTATGATTCGAAAACATCTTTCTGGAGCATTTTAATCATCTTCCATTCACCTCTTCTTTTGATTTCGAAACCTTTGAGTTCTGTGATTCTTCCGTGAGAGTTGAAGACAGCGTATCTCTTCTTTAGTTTCTTGCCTTCTTCTCTGGCTGCAGGAAGGAACATCGCGTGGTAAGGACCATCAGGTTCGAAGAAAATTGAGTTTTCTTTGTGAACTCTGTAGATATCATCAGCTTCTGTTGCTCCTCTTTGAACTAATGTATGATATTGGTGATTTGCAAATCCATTATCGACATTTTCATTCAACATGGAGCAAGGGAAATTGAAGCCTTTCTTTTCTCCGTTTTTCATTATCAATGTTTGGAACATTGGAAAAGTATCAGGTAAAGCACACCAAATACCATCAGTATCCAATTCCAAAGGACGTCCTAAACCAGATATGATGGCTCTTGTCTGTTTGATGATTGTGGCTCCTGTGTTTGTAACGACACCAGCCATTTCCATGGACCGCCATCTGGCAGCTGCTCTCATAACGTAACCGTAGAAAGAGTTCAAAATGGCTTTGTGAGCGAGTTGCAAAGAATCATTCAAAAGAATCATCTTCTTCGCAAGTTCTCTTTCTGCCGGTGTTTTAGCGAGATTTAGTTGTTTCGTGTAGTATTTAACTTTGTTTTTATACACGTATCTTCTATCTCTGAACGCTCTGACAGTTTCAATGTAGAAATCATGTGCTTTCATGCAAATAATTGACGTTTTCATGATTTCTTTTTCGACTTTTGGTTTCTGGTAATGTTTCTTACAGAAATTATTTAATCTCTGTTTATAATATTTCGCTTTATCTTGTGTAGACAATTTGTACCAGCTTTGTCCTTCGAATGTTTCTGTTTCTAACTGTCTGATAATTGCTTTGTTTTCATTAGGAGTCGAAGGGAACCATTCACCTCTCCATATCCATTGCATTTTTCTCTGGCATTGGTCACCTTTCATTCTGCATTTTGCACAAAAGTCTTCAGTGACAATAGCTGTTGGTTGGAGTCTGTTTGTGAGAATAATGTTTGGATACATGGCTGCGACATCGAGGTGCATGATTACAGGTGAAACAGATCTATGTGGATTATCTCTGAGGTCTTCCAAAGCGGAGATAATGTTGTGTTTCACTTCATCTAGATTTGCAATATCTTCTTCTTTAATTTTAAGTTCTGTGTTCATGACGAAATTGAAGATTCTCGGGATTCTGTTGATGATATCTTGATATTGTTCAGGGTTGACATTGAACTCTGTTGGAATATCATCTCTAAAGATACCAGACTCGATGGCTTCGACACGACCACCTGAATATGTTTCTGATATCAAAACATGTCCTTCGTGTTCTTTCATTTCATCATTTGTTGTTTTGTTGGGGAAGAAAATGTTGTTTCTGTAAGCTTCTGACATCAACAATGATTCGCACAATGTACCTGTACCTCTGCGCAAACAATCATCTGGATGCAAAGGAATAATAGTACTTAAAGAGAAAATAAAGCCGTGAATGTATTTCTCGTATAAATAATATGTAGCATAAGCATCAGAAACTGAATAATTGGCCAGTCTTTGAGGATCTTCCATACCGAGAGGACAAATATCTTCTGGATCAAGTTCTAATGGGTTGTAGTTGAGTTTGGCCTTTGTAACAGCTTTAAGACCTTGTGAACCGGCTGGAAGATATGAATCTCTTTGTACCCAATGGAAACAATCAATGTGTGGAGCGTAATTCGAAACAAATTCTTCGCCAAACTTGTGGAAACCGATTTCATAGTACATGGAAAGGTTCAAAATGCGAGCGCGCTCTTGAATGAACTCCCAATCGAAGAAATCTCCGTTGAAAGTAACGAAAATGTGTGGTTTAACTTCGCGGATATGGTTAAACCAGCCTTTCAACATCTCACGTTCGTTTGGATAGTTCGTAACGTGAAATTCGCAAAAATATTCAGGTAAAGGAGAGTATTCGAAGTCTTCAATTTCTTCAGAGAACCATTCTCGATTGATAACAAGATACCCTGTACCATCTAACATGTAGGAGATCATCATGATTTGATCTGTTTCGGTATTTGGGAATTGCAAAGGTTGTTTGGAACACTCTATATCGAAGGCTAAAATACGTGGTGTTGGACCTGGTCGCTCTGCATCGTCGTTTTCTGCTTCAAGTGATATTTGTGGTTCGCCGTTGACATTGTCGATATTATACCATCTGCCAACTCTGACATTCGTATCAATGCAAAATCTTTGATAGTATTGGACATCGCACTCACGTAATTCTGCTTTTGTACGAGATAATTCGCCACGAATGGCAACTAAGTCTTTTACATTTGCAAATACAAGCTTTGCCGCATTTCTTCTGTATTCTGTAGTTCCGACATCAATTTTTGTGACGTATTCAATTCTTCGAACTTTTTTATGATCGTTGTAGTCGTTAATTTTATCAAAAGGCATCATAACATAGAAGTACGGTTCAAATATTTTATTGATTCTGAACGTACTTCCATCTGATCTCATGAAATATAAAATTACAGCAGCAAATTCGGTGTCTGAGTCTTCTGGATGAACGGTGGTCGGAAGTATATTGATCAACCAACCGTTTAGGTGCTCGAACTCTGTGATGAGCGGGTACCAAAAGTAATTAATTTGCGTAGACATCGAATTTTTAAACAGACATTTCTTTCTTTTGAGAAATTTTTCCCAAATTGGAATGGATTTCTCAACCTTAATACGTTTAACCATAATTAGTGAACCAAATACAAAATATTTTCTAAATTGTTCGGTAGTTTAATCAATTTTGAGGAAGCAATTTAATCACAGTTTCACTCAGAAATAGTAAAATGATAGGTTTTTGTAGTTATGATAGATTATACACATAAGTGATAATATGCCTAACCAATTTATCCTTAACAGTTTAATATTATTTGTAATTAGTGAACATCAATCCATAACATATTCTTTCTAAGCAAAAATAGCCTATAACAGATACTATATTTAAATTTAAAAGCATAAGACATCCAATTAATGCGATTTTATGAACTTCTCACCAATTAGATTTTGATTCTTATCACATTCATACAATCTATCAACTATATTTTGATTCTAAACATCATATTTCTATATCTCATTAAATTGTGAACTAACAGATACTCAATAGATCTCATAATCTATGAAATGAATTAGACGACTATTAGTTTTTGCCATAACCAATATCTGATATCTTTTCCCAAAAACTATTAAAATGCCAAATTTGTTCAAAATGAGTATTAAATTTTCCAAATCATTTTTGCCATATAAATTTTTTTTTTACACTCTAAATGAGATCTAAAACTTTACCTTTGAAAGCAGATCCTTTTGGGGAATGCGTAAAAATCATCATCCCAACTGATACAGAAAACTCTCAGCAAGAGTTTCTTGCAGCAGTGAAGTGCATTAACCCAGATCTTCAAGATTTAATTTTTATGGCCTTAATTTTGAATTTTAGAAATGTTTTATCAAATATTGCATTGACAAATCTCAGCAAACAAATAAAATTCACCAAACCGAACATCATAGAAGATTTTCCTGACGAATTAATTATAAAATTCGTTAGAAACTTTTATAGATTCAAAGCAAACGATATGACCTATCTAGGAACACTTACAAAGAACTTAGCCATGTCAATACCTCTCAAACATATGAACGAATTTATTGATAACTTATTTTTACGAAATGTCTTTGCATTAGACAAAGAAACAATACCAATATGCGTAATGAGAAGCCCAGATGCTATGACAAGCTTTATTCAGCACTTTGTTCAATCACAGGATTACAGCAAAACATTTCAAAACGTTCTGACATCATTAATGTGTCCAAAGTTCGACCATAACATCCTCGCAAGTATTATCTTACTTTTCCTATCAGATTGTCTTAAAATTGACTCGAAATGTTTTTCATCATTTATTTCTTACTTTTCACGCGCAGTTTCATTCATTCCTTACAACGAATCCATGGATATCAAACAATACGCACTTCTCTACTTCCAAAACATCTTCATTGTTCGTCCAGAAGTGAAAACAATTGTTGTCGGAGTTTTAAAGGAGAGAATGAAGAACAGAATGCTCACACCCAACGAAGCAATCATTATGATACATACCCACGATGACTACAGTATCCACGACATTGCAGAAGCCGCAATTTCCAAAGGAGGTCCAATTTCAATTTTAAATCACATCTCAATGAAGAATGTAATGAATCCCATATACGGAGATCTCCTTGATATCCTTCTCCCAGCATCAATCTGCCTCATGAAAGTCACAAATCGTCATATCCAAACAATCACAACAACAATTCCGGATTTGAAGAAATTTTATTACCTTCCTAACGTTTTGACAGCATGTTTGAACATAAATAGAGTTCCTATCATCTCTGCTTACGCTATTTACCAACCTGTTGCTTCTTGTTTGTTACATATTGTTTCTATTTTTGGAACAACGAAGAAATCACTTCTGAAACCAATTGAAGATGATTTTAGAATATACCCTGACTCTGCTTTAACAGCGTTGTTCATCATGGCATCATCGAATTACGTACAGGACATAAACACTTTCAAAAGAGTCGCAAAAGCAATTATCAAAAATTCAATAAAAAGTGACTTCAAACAAAAAGTGTCAGGATGTGAATTTAACAAGACGATCAGGCACTTTATTGACTTGAAGATGACTGATAATGAGTCAGTACAGAAGTTCATCCTCAAGTGTTTCGTCTATAAACATAAAATGGCTTTGAAACCTTCGAAAGTCATTAAAGACATCGAAAAATTGAAGCCTTTGAAGCTCAGACAACAACAAGAGATGGAAAAGCAGATGGAAGAACAAAGCGATGACGAGGATGACTTGGATAACGTAAAGACACCAAGAGAATTCTATCAGCCAACTGATGATTTGACAACAATTGCAGAACCAGGAATTTCAAAGAAAAGTGACATTCCTAAACAAAAAATTGAGAGTCCAAAGAAGAGTCCTGTAAGTACATTCACTTTCGAAACACCACAACAACCTATTCAACAAGAAAAGCCAAAACAAGAACAAAAACAACCAGAACAAAAAGTAGAACAAAAACAAACAGAACAAAAAGTGACAATTCAAAAACCTCCGGAAGAAAAACCAGCAAAACCACCTGTTTCAACAGGATCCAACTTGAGAAACTCAAAGACACAAGAGTATGTTGTTGAGAAACTTCCAAACTTCGATCCGAACCTTACAGATAAAAAGGAAACACCACAAACACCAAAAAAAGTTACTGTCGAAGTTCCAAAAGAAACTCAACAACAACAACAGCAGCAACAAGGTCAAAGAGGAATTATTAAAGGCTTCTTTGGAATGTTCAACTTCTTAAGGAACATTGCAAGTAATGATGTTTTCGAGGAAGAGAAAACAACAGAAGAAAAACCACTCAAATTAGAAAAGAAACCAAATGCTCCTGGAAATGCAAATGCCGTGCAGAAATCACAGCCTGTTTTCAAGAATATCGAGATCAGCGATGAAGAACTTTCACTTTCTGTTGATGAAGAACTTGAAGCTCCTTCAATCAACTTGTCTGAAGAAGAAAGTTCTGAAAGCGAACCTCTCGATGACTTGCAGTCTATTTACGCGAAATAATTCGGATTAATGATGATTTGAATTCATCAAAATCCAACAAATTTCTTTTTTTAAAATGTTATATATTTTTATTTTAATCAAAAGTTTTAATATATTATATTTACTTTATATGTAGATGTGTCCATTCCAATCAATACATATTTTGCTGAAGTGTGTCAGTCAATTCTCTTGAAGTCGTTAAGGCTTCACTAATTGTTGATTGAATCTTTAAAAATTGGATTACCTTGAGATTTATCAAATTATCTCGGACTTTTCAGAGAATTGAGCTCAGGCTCAGTTCTCTGAAATAGTCCGATGGTAATTACTAGTCTTCATCTGCTTTCAATGATTAGCTTGATTTTATGGGAACCTTAAGGTACGAAAGCAGATGAAGACTTTATAATTTTTAGCGGCCTACATAAAAATGTGCTTATTTCCGAAAATGATAAATCACTATTTATATGTATTGTAGGGCTTATTTTTGAACTTTTTAAAAATTTTTTGTAAAACTTTTTGTTATGTTACGATTTTTAAGTATTTTGAGCTTGAATTTCTTTCGTAGATTTAAAAATAGCATGAAAGTTCATAATTACATTGAGATTGAAATTAACATCTTTTTGAATATAGATCTTCTAGATGAGAAAGCTCATGATATTAAACAAAAATATCGTATTAAAGTAGATAGCAACATTAAATTCTTTAGTATTTGTTCTTTAAGAACTTTTGATAATAACTAACGGCTTTTTTGAAATGGCGGAGCACGAATATGATCATTATTTATACAATGAGCTTACAGAAAGATATAGGTTATATCAAGAAACTTTTTCATCATTCATGCGAATCAAAACAACAGAAATTGAAGAAATTCAAAAAATTTACCAAACGATTAAAACGAATTTACTTGATACAAAGATATTTTCACCAAAAAGGATATACAATTTAATTTTTATCGCTTATAAATATAATAACCGATATTTAAAATCCTATTGGATGATTCTCAAATTACTTTTTGAAGAAACTCATGTAAAACCAGAATTTTTCCCTCTCGAAGTTTCGGAACATTTCTTTTATAAAGAATACAACTTACCCATTGATGAATACCACAAAAAACAATTCAAACTTTGGGAACTTGATAATTATTCAATGGATATCCATGAAAAGAATACAATCTACAGGTCCATTATGGAAGATGACGTAGCATCTTTTGTAAAATTCACAGAAGAAGAAACATTCAATAAAGATCAACGTCTCAAAAGTGAATTATATCCGAAATCAAATGATGGATTATCGCTTCTTGAATTATGTTGCTATCATGGATCAGTTGGCTGTTTTAAGCTGTTAATAACAAAATTCAAATCAGAAATCACACAGAGATGTCTTCAATTATCATTTTTAGGAAAGAACAAGAACCAGATGAAAAATGTATGAAATATGCTATTATTTCATTCAACATTGATTTTGTTACTTTTTTGAAGGATGAATATGAAATTGATATTGATTTAAAAGTATGCAGTAAATATCTAAATCTTCAAGCATTCTTTATCAATCTCGATATGACATTCGATTTTCAGAAAAGTTTTATTTATTCTCCTTGCTTTTCGCTTCTTTCTCTTGTTGAGTGTTTGAAATCAAATTGTGATGATATCAATGCTCGAGGGATTAATGGTTCAGGAGCTATTCATTTCGCAGCAACATATGATTGCAAAGAAATATTGCAATTTCTTATTTTGAATGGAGCTGAGATTAATTCTCAGCGTGATAATGGAACCACTGCACTTCATATTGCAGCTATCAGAAACAATATAAAAATAGCAGAAATTCTTATTTTACATGGTCATGACATTAATATTCAAAGCTATAATGGATGTACTCCTCTTCTTTTTGCTGCAGCATTCAACAGTCCAGAAATAGTAAAGCTCCTTATTTCTCATGGTGCTGATATAAATATTAAAACTGATGACGGAAGATCTGCCCTTCATCTTGCATCTGGTTTTAATCATAAAGAAATAGTGGAACTTCTTTTATTGCAAGGTGCACAAATTAATGAACAAGATAGTAATGGAATGTCTGTTCTTTATTATGCAGCCCTTCGAAATTGTACAGAACTCGCAAAACTTTTTATTTTGCATGGCGCAAATATTAATGCAAGAGAAGTTAATGGATGTACATCTCTTCATTGTGCATCTAGTATGAAAAATAAAGAAATCGTTGAATTTCTTATTTTACATGGAGCAGATATTACATGCAAAAAATAATGATGCAGCAATAATAGAAATTCTTATTTTACATGGCGCAAACATTAATGTAAAAGGAAAATATGGATACACGCCTCTTATGAGTGCAGCAGCAAATCAAGGCAAAGAATCAGCAGAACTTCTAATTTCACAAGGAGCAGATATTGAAACCAAAAACGATGAAGGAAGAACTGCTATTCTAGTGGCTGTTATTCAAAACTCTCAAGAAATCGTAGAACTTCTTAATTCACATGGTGAAGATATTGATTTAAAAGATATATATGGAAATACTGCTCTTCATTTGGCAATAATGAACAAAAGAATAGATATAGCAAAGCTTTTAATTATGAAAGGTGCTAATGTAAACTCTAAAAATTCAATTGGAGCTACAGCTCTTCATTGCGCTGTAACTGTGAATTTGAAAGAAATTGTCGAACTCCTTGCTACATCAGGTGCAAATTTGGATGCTAGAACCAATTCTGAACTTACTGCTCTTCATATTGCGGTAGAGGGTGGTATTTTTGAACAATGAAATTATATTTATATGTTATTATCTTGGTTTGAATTTTTTTAACTCCAAAATTGCAAAAGTGACAAAATATTTGACAAAAATATAAAATAACCGTTGATAGAAAAAAATTTTAATGTTCCCACTTCTCTAGGTTGAGCGAAAATATTATTAATTTGTCAGGAAGTATCATATATGAGTTCAATAAAGCTTATACTGGTAATATTGTTATTACTAACCCTGTTTATAAAACTATTTATGATCGGGCGTGCCTTAGATGTAATTGTGCATCATTAGATTTATCTAAATCATCTATACAATACATTAATGACGAAGCATTCTTTTTTTGTTATAAACTGACAACTTTAATATTGCCAGATTCTTTAATTACAATTAGGAGGAATACTTTTGCAATAAGTCCTATCTCATCTGTGCATTTTGGACCAAATTTAAGATATTTTGATGGCTATTCGTTTAACCAATGTCCGAATTTGAATACATTTTCTATCGATGAAAATAATGAATATTATACAGTAGTAAATAACTTTGTTTACAGTAAAGATATGACTAAACTTGTTCGAACCCCTATTATCTTTGAAGAAGAAGATATTCCTAATAAAGAAAGCATTACTACTTTTGGAAACAGTTTCTGTTCCGGAGCTTCAATTCATAAATTTAAAGGTTGGGAAAATTTGAGTAAATTTGATGAAATTGGATTTCATGTTAATCTCAATCTAACAGTCGTTGACTTATCTAAGACTAATATAACTATACTTCCTAAATTTGCTTTTCATAATTTGCTTAAAATTGAGAGGTCATTTTCAAATAGTCGTAATTATCAAATCGATTTTTTAAGCATTTACACTAACAGAATTCAAAAATTATTTATAAAATGTAATATAAATATGATTAGATATGGACATTACCATATAAATTTTGCACTTTACTGATAACCTTAATTTAAAAAATCTCTCTGAGCGAGGCTATTGTTGATTCACAAGGGGAAAGAATTAAAAAGTTTAATACATCATTCACAGGAACTATTAAAATCACCTCTCACGTATACACTATCATTGGAACTGAAGCTTGTTCCAATTGTTTGTGCACTGGACTTGATTTAAGCCAATCTTATATAGAGGTAATTGAATCTGGTGCGTTCTTAAGGGCTAAACTTACAAGTATTATCTTCTCGCCTTATGTAACAACATTAAATGAAAATACATTTGGCCTATGTCCTATTACATCAATAAATATTGTATCCTCCATGAGATATATGACAGGATTTTCATTTAATCAATGTCCTTTCCTAGATATTCTGACCGCTGATCCACAAAATCCATATTTTTATTCTGAAAATAATTTCATTTTTTCGAAAAATGGAGATACATTAGTTCGCACTCCAATTAACTTTGAAGAAGAAGACATATCTCATAAAGAAAATATCAAAGTGTTGGGCAGGTGCCTCAGTAGCGGCAGTACATATAAACAGTTTATTGGATGGGAAAATCTTTCGAGAATTGATGGATTTACATTTCATGCAAGTCCTAATCTGAAATTAGTTGATTTATCAATGACCAATATCACTTCGATTCCAGAATACTCATTTAGGACGTGCCCCATATTAACTGACATTCGACTTCCTGGAAATCTAACCAGTTTGCAAAATTATGCGTTTCACATCAATGACAAACTTAGATCAATTTTTCTCCCAAATAAAGTTTCTGAAATCAATAAATTTGCTTTTAATCAATTACCTAATCTGAGATTATTAACTTATTACGGCGAAACATCATTCGATGCCCTTAATATAATTAATGAATGCCCTCTGTTAAAAACCGTTCGCGTGATTTTTACATATCCTTCAGATAAATTTGGGGAAATCAATGTTGTAAGAAACGCTTATATGCTTGGAAATAGCGAATTATGTCCATCTATAAATTATAAAAGTAGTATGTTCAATTTTAATTCAATTTCGTTATATACTGTTTTTATCTCAATGTAAAGATATTTATATTTACTCTATATAATATCAAAGAACATTAAAGTAAGAATCTCTGCAGCTTTTTCATTATGTGGAATTGTATCTGTCCAGTTACCATCTTCCATCATATAAATTTTTTGTATCAATTAATTGAAATAGAAAATCAAGATTCTGTAATATCAATATATTAAAAAGCCTTTGTCAATTGCATCAACATTTATTCTAGATTTATTTCATTCTGAGGCAAAATACTTCTACGAAATTTCACATATCCAGATGATACTACACAATACTAATTCTCGAATTCTATTGGCAGTAACTCATTCAGCAACTTAATTAATTGATACAAACTTAAATCTATCATCAACGATTTCACATTTTCTTTTTACTATAGAGCACAGGAAATACTATATATCCCATAACAGCTTTTGACCCACTTTAATTATTTTGTTATTGAGGATCTAATGTATACAATGCAAGTAGAAACTCAATTTTTAAACTCAGTAATTACGTACTTTTCACAATATATGACTCTAAAACAACCTTAATTTTACCGATATGCACTTTTTGTAGAACGGTTTCTAAAAACCGATTTTATTTTAATTAGCTGAGTGATCATATTGTTAATGCATCGGGAAGTATTATATATGAGTTTGATACATCATATGCTGGAAGCATTATCATTACAAACACCATATACAAAATAATTTTTAATCAAGCGTGTTATAGTGGTTTATGCACATCCTTAGATTTATCACAATCAAAAATTGAATCTATAAATGACGAAGCATTCCTTTTCTGTAGGAATCTTGCAACTTTCATTTTATCAGATTCTCTAATTTCAATTGGAGCTAACACTTTCGCGATACTATCTATCTCATCTGTGCATTTTGGACCAAATTTAAGATCTTTTACTGGTTTTTCATTTAACCAATGTCCAAATTTGAATACATTTTCGATCGATGAAAATAATCAGTACTTTACAGTTGTCAATAACTTTGTTTTCAGTAAAGATATGAGTAGACTTGTTCGAACCCCTATTATCTTTGAAGAAGAAGATATCCCTAATAAAGAAAATATTACTACATTTGGAGTCGGTTTTGATTCCGGAGCGACACTTCATAATTTTAAAGGTTGGGAAAAGCTGAGTAAAATTGAAGATTTCGGATTTCATGCTAATCATAATTTAGAAATTATTGATGTATCTATGACAAAAATCACTGCACTGCCTAATTTAGCATTCTGTGATTTGGATAATTTGAAAACATTGATATTACCTGCTAAATTGAATGAACTTAAATTTGAATCCATAACTCATATTCCAAAATTGTATACATTATCTCTTCCTTCTTCCATAAATCTTATAGCTGATCAATGTTTTAATTATTTAAATAATTTGAAAGTTATTTGCTATTATGGAAATGTATCGTTTTCAGGAAAGAATTTGTTTAATAATTGTCCGAATGTGAAATATATTCGTGTTTGTCCTTTGTATCCATCAGAGAAGTTTTCATCATTTAATGTTTCATTCGATGCATTTCAACTTGGTGAAACTATGATAACATGTCCTTCAATCAAAAACATTCCATGTTCTTCCACCTTTCACTTTATTAGCTATTCTGTTTTCATTTTAATCTAAAATTAACTATTATCTTTGAACAATGAAATTATGTTTATGTGTTATTCTCTTATGTTAAATATCAAAAATGGTTTGAATTTTTTTAACTCCAAAATTGCAAAAGTGACAAATTATTTGACAAAAGATAAAATAACCGTTGGTAGAAAAAAATTTTAATGTTCCCACTTCTCTAGGTTGAGCGAAAATATTATTAATTTGTCAGGAAGTATCATATATGAGTTCAATAAAGCTTATACTGGTGATAATTATATTTGTGCAATGGCTGTTAGGCGCAAAAAGTGACACTCATATATCCACTCGGTGCTTTCTTCACAAGAGTTCCGAGCGGCGATATCCCTAAAGCACCCATTGTTCCATGTATAATTATAATACTCATTCTGTTTAAGTAAAACTTTAAACAATAAGATCTTATATTTATATTTTTATGACTTAAATTTGATTCATTCGGCTCTGGCCAAATAATTCAATTCGTCGAATTATTATAAAATTTCAAATTTCAGGCGAGCGGATACATAGAAAAGAAAACCTTAAACAATTTGTGAGCATGTCAAAACGTTGTAATTGTTCCGAAATTCATCGAGGATCGTAGAGATACCCTATTGTCAATTAAAAAATTTAACATCTTAATAAATTAAGGGTAAAGAACACTTTTCACCTGAAAAATGCAAGAAGATTCAGCTGGGAAGAATATTACATCACTCAAAATAAAAATGAAAAGACACAACGGAGAAGATCTATTTGATACGACAAGTGATAATAATTATTATGTTTTTCTTTTTTTTATTTGAAGATTGCAAAGAAAATGGTGCAATTTTTATTGTTGTTCCAATTGAAAACTGTGCACTCATTGAAGACTCTACATTTATTAGCTGTAGAGCAACAGATGCAGGTGGATCTCTTACCTATAGCTGTGAAGAAGGACAAATTGTTCAGCAACGAACTTGCTATTTTGCGTCAAAAGCTGACCAATATATGACATTTGTGCAGAGCGGTAAAAACTCTTCTTTTTATAAGGACTACTTATTTGAAATTTCGGTTTCGGAATGCAGCATAAATGAGGCAGAAGGACGCTGTACAATTAGCATTGGATATGGCGATATTTCCAGCCAAAATGTACTGGAAAAAATTTGACTTTAGTCCTAAAATTAATACTATCCATTCATTGATTGATTATAAATTACGCTAAATTTCTTTGAATTCCCCAATCGAAATAAAAGTTTTGACAAATATTAAGATAAATATATAAAGATAACTTTTCGAACGAGTTTAGATTAGAACGTTTAATGTTTATTCATTAAAATCATGAATTTATAATTTTGATAATAAAATTATAAAACATAAACATTATAAAAACATTTACTAACAATAACAACAATTATACATGGGATAATTAAGAACAGAAATCCTTAAAAATCGAAATCTGACCAATCTGTTTCTTCATCTGAACAATCTGTAGCATAAGACAAGCTACTAAGTGTAAGTATTGTCTTTTTCTTTCTATGAAATCTGTTGTCGCTTTCTGTACGTGAAATATGATTTCTTCTGGTTTTCTTTTTATTGTTAAGATTCCAATTTTGTGGATCCATAGCAGCTACAGAATTATTTAATATAGCTTGCTGTAAGTCAAGTGTTTCTGCTTCAGTCATAACCATTTCTGGTTTATCCCATGGCCTTCTTACCCATGTATTTGGAATCTTTTTCGGAACAGTCTTAGTATTGTATCTTTCAATTTTCTTCCTCTCTGTTTCAGTCTGTGGCTTTGGTGGATTTGATTCAGCGATATCTAGGAGTTGGCCCGAATGAAAGTACTTGGTATTAGGATCAGTAAACATTCGACTCTCAAGGATTTCTAGGCTCTGATGCATTAATACCAAATCGTATGACTGAGTTTTTGATGAAGATTTTGCCGAATGGCTTGAAAAATCACTATCAGCTGCATCCCATGTTGGAGTAAGAATACGGCTGGGTCTATAGTCTTGAGCTGGTGGAGTTGCTGACATTTCACCAAAATCTGGAATATCAAAATCAGTATTAATTGGAGTAATACTCCTATTGTATTTATTGCGAGCAACTTTTGCAGGCGGAGGCGGGGGTGGAGCCGTTGTTTTTGAAGGAATCTTCGGTGTTTTTACAAACATCCGAAGAAAATTCTGTAAAAGCGAGGGATTTTCGACCATTTTCTTGATGGCACTCTCTAAGGCCGGTGAAGACTTAAACACATTCACAGGAGGATCCTTCAGAGGCTCCTGTATGTTAACTTGCTGCATCACGAGCGCCATTCCGAAATTTTCTATTCCAGTTAGTTCACTTTATTTAAAATCCAATTTTAATTAATAATCGGATTCAGCTCCGAAAATAGATTATATTGTTGTGGTTAAGTACGATCAATGTTGCTATCCGATAAAAATTAACAACCTTTGATAATGAGATCTTGATTGTATGAGGAAAATTATTATCGGTGATATAATTTAGCTATATCAGTGCTCGCTTGCTGCAACTTTCAAGATTCGAATTCAAATTTCCTTATTGAACGCTAAATTAAAGGATTTAAATGGAGTTGATAAATATTTGCTGAAAAGAATTATATTTCCTAATGAATTAATCGATTTCAAAAAAGAGTATTTCAATAAACATTTGAAAACTGCGTTAAAGAGTAAACATAGTTATGCAATGGTCATGAAATTCTATTTCAAAGCGATAGGATTAAACTTTTTGTGTTTTCGAAAAGAAATTCCTAATAATTTTGTTTTCGATCTTAATTATGAGTAGGTGCCAAAAGTGCTTACTCTTAAACAACCGTCGGATTTCCGGGTGAAATCGTGACACACTTTCGTCTTTCGTAGGCAGTGGTGGTTGTTACAAAAGGTAACTTCGAATGTAGCGTGAAATCTGCAAAAAAAATTCTGAAATTTGAATGGAGAACACAAAAATTGAATAGTTTACGTCAATAAAAAAGAGAAAAATGAAGCCAATGTGTCTCGAACCTAGGACTTAGAGCAGCAATCCCACTGTTTATCCCATTACACTACCTGCATCTCTCAACTCAGTGAATGAGATCAACTATATGATAACTTTTTCCCCATTATATTCTTGTGGAAAAGTGACAAATAGCAACTTTGACCCTCTCTCTCTTAATTATTCATTCAATGTTGTTTTTACGAAAGACTTAAAGGAAAAGAATAGATGTATTGTACATTTTCTAATTTTGAATGGTTATGAAGAAATAGCAGAAACACTTATTTTACACGGTGCAGATCTTAATGCCAAAAGCGCTAATGCATTAACTGCAATCCATTTAGCAACAGAGAGAAACCTCAAAAACATATTGGAATTGCTTATTTCACATGGTGCCAATGTTAATGAAAAGGGTAATCTTGGATTGACTGCCCTTCATATTGCATCTCAGAAAAACCATAAAGTATCAGCAGAATTTCTTATTTCACATGGAGCAAACGTCAATGAAAAAATTATTGACGGAACAACAACTCTTCAAATTGCTACACATTATAATAGCGTAGATACAGCAAAAATTCTTATTTTACATGGTGCAAATGTCAATGAAAAAGATAAAGATGGCAAGACTGCTCTTCATCATTTTACACAGAAAAACAGCAAGGAAACAATCGAATCTCTTATTTCACATGGTGCAAATGTTAATGGACAAGATAATGATGGTAGAACTGCTCTTGAATATGCAATCGAAAATATTTGCCAAGATGCATTGGAAATTCTTATCTCTCATGTTATGGATATTGAAGCTGAATAATTTTCTGATTTATGCTTAAAATCGATATCTTTCATTTAACTTCACATGACATTTTAGAATAAAAGATGTAAATTTTCATTTCTGAATAACGGCAATTTTTAATCTTATTCAAATGAACATATATTACGAAAGATCTAGAACTTCCATCATTAAACAATATCAAAGTTGTATTAGTACACGGTATGATCTATATAAACTTCGTGATGATACTTTTAACGGTAATTAAAAATAATTTGATCAAAGAAAACATAATTATTGTAAGATTTATTTTGAGAGATTTTAATAATATTTTCACAAAATTATTAGATTTATTTATACTTTGATAAAATTTCACATGATATGGTGATAACAATGAGAGTAATAAAAGTGACATTGTAATCGAATAGAAAATTCCACCCAAGGTGTCTTATATACAAAATCAAACGATTTTGCTATATGTGGAACCAACGATTCTTCAGTTAGCAATAACGCTAGAGCAAATATTGATTCGAATACAATTTACATTCTTAATTATTATGAAAGTTTACCGGTTACACAAATTGGAAAGGCAGCATTTCGATATAATTAAATTGTGCGTACAATATATTTACCAAAGAATGTTGAATATGCTTTTTGGGATTCATTTTCATATTGTGATAACTTAGAAAATATATACTTTGAAGAAGATAGTCATTTATTTTATGTGTATTCAGGTTTTATATATTCAAATAAGAAAATTAAACATATTCGCATTCCGAAGTCGATATCTTTAGTTCCAACTTATCTATCACTTGGAGGCAACATAAATATTCAGACTGTTACATATTGTGGGCTTGCAAAATTTCCTAATTTTACATTTTCCCGTTGGGAACACTGGGATGAATTATATTGTCCAAAATCTATATATGTTGTGGAAAATTATTCATATGATAATTTTGGCGGTTGCTCAAATATTGTTCGCATGAAACAATGCCCAATTTATCCACAAATACCATGTTTAACAGTGAGATATAATAATCTGGGATGTATCCAAAGTTATTTATCTTATATAGCAGTTATTTTATTAATATAATTGTTTCCTGTTTGTATTATAATTTGAATTAAAAATAATCGTATTGATTTTTTATGATATTAAAAGTGACAAATTTAATTATCAAGCCATTAAAATTGTAGTAAAAGATAACCCTAAAATTCAAAAACTATTATAATGACATTACAGACCAAACCAAAGATATACAAATACTAAGCTCTGGTTTTGAAAACTACTATGAAGTTCCAATATTAATCCAGAGGGAAATAAATTTTCATCATGCCAAAATTCGAAGAGCATGAATTTCATTGCTAATAGAGCTCCTGCTGTAATTGGTTTTGACGGTAAAAATTTTGAATCCGAATATCTTCACATTTTTAATTGTCCATCGAATAGAGTTGGAATAATTGTTTCCAATTCAAATTACTTTCAAAAGTATAATCGCCTTTATTCGGATTCAATTCATGCTCTCATATGAGGTACTAGGTAATGAATTAAACTAACTTTTCTCCAATCAAAAATCTTAACTTTATATCATAGAAAATTAGGATATAAAGCATATATGTCAAAAAAATTGAGAGAATGTCAGAAAGTGGTAAGTAAACCATTCAAAAATGTGTTGCAATAAAATCAGGGTTTTTGTTGATACATATTTCAATTTACAAATCCAAACATTACTTTTCGTTTTCAAACATCTGTTCCTGCACAAAAATCATCGACTTTAATAAATCATAAATTAAAAAAAAATACTTGAAATATAATTCCAAATTCTTCTATTTATATAAATCTACGACTGTTACATTCAACTTCTAATTTTTCAGAGAAATAATCAAATGAATGTTCGTTGTTTTCTATCATTTCGCTCTGGAAATCTTCCTGATTAACAATAAATAGAGGGAGATTATCAACATCGATTCCGTTTAAAGCTTCAATATTTCCAAATACTTTTCCAGAGAATGCTTTCAGTAAAACAGCTGTAGTATGATTCTGTAAGTTCTTATTATCAAGTCTGTTGCAGAAAGTTGTTGGAGGCAACAAAAAGAATGGATATAATTCTCTTATTAATCTCAAATGCGACAAAGAACAATAATTAACAGCATTTGCGATCATCACTAATTTATCATTAGTCGTATATAACTGAGATTGAGTCAAACTCCACATCATTATCGGTGCATCTCGGAACATTTCGTCAATTGACTTTAAATACTGGCCTTTCTGAGACCAAGCGGACAACATTTGCACGCAGTGTTCATAGAACTCTTCATATGCATGCGATTTGGCCTGATTTTCCAGTATTATCTTGGCAGATTCTCTTGCAAGATAAGTTCCTATGGATAAACCGTTGAATTCAGTGATTTCTTCAACTCTCTTGGGATTATAAGTGAATACTCTGATTAATGATGAACCATCTTTCCTCTTAGCAACAAAAGAAGCTTGAAATGCAACATTTCGAGTTAAATTACCACCCATTGATAGTTCTACGGAGACTCCAGACTCTCCATCAATCAAAGGTATATAATCTGAATCTCCTGAGACAGAATTCGGTATCGTCATGTCGTATAAAGCAAAAATCTTTTGGAATGAGAACCTAAAATGAACATGGAACAAGAAATCAGAGTATAACCAGTTCCTTAATATGGGTGATATCAGCTGGCCTTCTGTATCCTCAAAGATATGGACTTTGAAAGAATTTTTCGCAAGATTATACATAGATTCATCATGTTGACAGTATAAGTTGACTGCAATATTGCCTCTATTGTTCATTTTAATCAAAAGAGATGGTGATGAGTCACATTTTGAGGCAAATAAAGTCATTACAACAGGAGTATTCGTATCTAGCTTTCTTACTATTTTTCTTACGTTATCATTAAAGTCTATTATTTGTTCTTCATGTATATTTGGTATAAATTTAGATAATTTGCAGTTTTCTGATGAAAAAATTGGAATTTCAAGTTTTGAATCGGGAAAATATATATGTGTTCGCATTTTCATCATATCAAAAGATGTAATATTTGTTCCAACTGTGAAAAACGCCAAATTTATGTTCGGATTTTGAACTGCCCATTCATCAATTGTGGCCAAAATTGAAGATAATGTATCAGGATTGGTAAAGAAAGATGAGTTTTGTATTATAAATAAAAATAAAGGCTTCTTAGCTTTAGAAGTATAGCAAAGATCGAAATCGTTAATGGAAGGTAATATATGCGTTTGTTTCTTTTCATTGAGTTGTCCACATACATGGCATTTCCATCGTGGTGAATCGTTTTCTTGCATATTTACAGGAAATGCACCACAATTTTGGCAAACTGGTATTGTGTAGCCTTCTGGCGCTTCAAATTTCGGTAGTTCGTGATGCAATGGCATAATTTCAAAATAGATTGGAGTTTCAAGCTTGCCTATAGAATAACTAGTATTTGTAATTTGAGGAAAATCAGTTACAATTGCAGATTCTTTGTATCTTTCTTGAGAAAAGAGTTTAGAATTCATTGTTGGCTGAAAACTTTGCTTTAAACCAGTCTGATTCATTAAAATCTGTAATTGTCAAATTGTAAGAAAATTTATTATTGAACTTTACATGTCATAGGATTATTTTTTTATAAAAAGGATAATTCCTTATAAAAATGAGATATAGTCAAGGCTTTTTCATTAGTCACTATATGCATATTATATGTGCTATACTTATGGGTTATTGCAATAGTAGTTTGAAGGAATAAAAAGCTTTTTAATGATATGAAATTTAAATGTTTTCATTCTCATACAATTTCTTAGTTTCCAAAAAGTGACAATATAAAAAGTCAAGTTGTCAGATGTCAAAAATTTTGCATGGCAAAAATTTTGAATGTTTATCACTAAAGTTGATTCTTTTGATCCAGGCAATTCAAGTGGAATCGTGCAAATATCAAGAAGCCCTTGCGGGAAGTTTCTAGCAGTCATTACACAAACTTCTCTTTGTATAAAAGACTTATTAACTTATAAATTTACATTAATTTCAATATATACAAGAGATGGCAATTCAATGGATCAAAATGGATTCAATCACTGGATACAGTGGATAAATTCGTCATGTATTGTTGTCGGAACTCAAGCTGGACACGTTTTCATTTTTAATTTAGACGATTCAGGCAACATTATAAATCATTCAAAGTTCTATTATCAATCAATCATTACAGCATATTCATCTGCATATAATACTTTAATCGTAGCTTCATCAGGACCAAAAATTTCATTCATATCTCCTGATGGAGTCGTTAGATCACAAGTACAATTCGAGTCATCAGTTCCTTCTATCATAAGACACATTGACTTTTCCGATAATACAGCAGCTTTCACTTTTTCTGATGGAACAGTTTCAATTTCTTCTTTTAAAGAATCAGACATCATTAAGCAAACTCCATTGAACGTTAACTTGTTACCAATGACAGATATCATCTCAACAAAGATTTTTAGAAAACAAATTGCTTTATTGACTTTTTCAGGGATGATCTACAAACTACCATTAAATACTGATAGATCCGAAGTTTCTCTTGTCTCTGAATCAACTTATCTCTTTAATTGGGCAAGAGATGGTTCACATATTATTTCATTAACAGCAGAAGGGTTTATTTCCGTTTATTCATCAAGGACAACAAGATCCTCTAAAACAAAAGTAGATTTTGGCCTTAAAATCAATGAAAATACAGGATTATTCCCAAATTTTATTACTTCAGAAATTGATGGCTCAGGTCTCAGATTTTTCTGTGCAACTGTTGACAAATGCTTTGTTATTACATTTGCAGCTACTGATTATCGATTGCCAAGCAAAGTTTTCCATTCTCCAACAAAAATTTTTGATCAACTCAAAGAAGAGGTCAGAATTCCAGATGACATGGTAAATGAGTATTTCCCAATCCAATACGCAACTACATGCAATTATAATGCTTTAATTGCTTCTCGTTCAAATTTCCAAAAATATAATATTGAAAAAAGAGCCAAGAACAGTTTATCCGTTCCAAATTATATGTGTAGAGCATTGTGGACCCAAAACGATTACTTTATTTCCATTGTTTTCGATTCAAATGATCCACAATATAAATTACTTGTCATTGATCCGGAAACAAGCAAAATTCTACACAACATACCACTCAATGGCGTTTTTATTACTGCAGAATACAAGAATAACCATATTTTGATAGTTATGCAGTATTCCGCGATTATTCTTGAAATTTTGCCAAGAGAAATCAAACTTTTGAAAGAGATAAAAGGTGAAAAAGAATCTCCGTTTGAAGGAGGAACTTTTTCTGAAGAAGATTTATCTCTTTATTTAATAATTTCAAACGATAGAACTTTAATACATTTCCCATCAGGCGATGTAATATGCCAAGAAGTGTCTTATGCATATTGTTCTCAAAACGCTTCTTTACTTTTCATTATAACACATTCAAATCAGTTTGTTAGATATAATAATGCAATGATAAGGCTTCCGAAGCCTTTCTTATATATTGATGGATACATTGGATACTCTTTACCTGATGAATACGAAATTGGAAAAATTAAATTTTTATCTAACCAATTTTTGGATATAATTTTGATGCATTTCATCGATAATCCTGAATTAGTTGCTAAATTAATTCTTTCTACTAAGGATCAGGCTGGTTTAATGGACGGATTTGTTTTATTTGTTAAAAAAGCATTGAAACAGAAGAAACAAGGAAATTTAGCCAAAATATGCATGAATATACAAGATATAAAAGATCATTTCTTAGTTGTAGCACTTTTCTCTGTTGATCCGGAATATATTGACTTTATTAAGTCTTTATTACCAAAGTATGAAGAATTAGTTGTAAAATTTCCAGATCTGAAAAGCGACCTGAATAAAGTTTATAAATAAAATTGTTTTTGCATTGTAAAATAAATAAATATCTCTTTTTATATTTATTTCAAATGAAAAAGAAGGATAAGAATCTTAATATGAAAGGATGATGCGTTTCTGCTAATACTAGAATGATTTTTGTAAAGACGAAATAATAACATATGTGATGTTATTATTTTTTTGCTAGAAATGAATTGCTAGAAGTAAATTATGTTTGAATACATCATATATGACTTATGAAATTATGCTGTTCTTGGTTCTGGAGGCAAAATTAACCTTAATCCAGTTCCATATGCAAAAAGAAGTTCGGCTGTTTCTTTACAATTATTTTCTACTGCAACCCGAAAGGCAGTATTCCCATCATTATCTTTGATCCTGATATTTACACCATGAGAAAGAAGAAGTTCAGCCGTTTCTTTACAATTTTTACATGCGGCAAAATGAAGAGGGGTATTCCCATAAATATCTTTGTCATTGACATTTGCACCATGAGAAATAAGAATCTCGGTTGTTTCTTTGCGATTTTCATTGGCTGCATTATGAAGGGCAGTTCTTCCATGTTTATTTTTATCACCGATATTTGCACCATTAGAAATAAGATATTCGATCATTTCTTTACTATCATTGTATGATGCTAATTGAAGTGCTGTATTATCATAGTAATCTTTTTCATAGATATTTGCACCATGTGAAATAAGAACTTTTAAAACTTCTTTACGATTATTTGCTGCTGCATATTGAAGAGCTGTTTCTCCAGCTCTACCTTGTAAATCAATATTTGCACCATGTGAAATAAGAAATTCGACCATTTCTTTACGATCATCTAATGCTGCCATATGAAGAGGGGTATTTCCAAAAATATTTTTGGCATTGATATTTGCACCATAAGAAAGAAGAAGTTCAGCCATTTCTTTGTTATTATGATTTACTGCTTGATGAAAAGCGCTATCCCCACAACAATTTTTAGTATGGATATTTGCACCATGTACAATGAAGTATTCACAAAGAGGTAACATTTCATATAATGCTGAAAGATAAAAACATTCGTTAATATCATTAGTTTGAGCATAATAAACAAAAAATGATTCAAGATTATTATATTTTCCACAATCATATAAACTAATCTCTAAATTGTATTCATTCATCAAGAATGTAACAAAATCAATGTTGTGTGAAATAATTGCAAATTTCATGCATTTTTGATTTGGTTTTTGATATTTCAAACATTCACTCATGATCTCTGGATTTCCGCCTAAAAATGAAAATCGAAGACATTTTTGAGTTATTTTTGAGTCAAATTTCGTTCTTAATAACTTGAAACAATCAACTGCTCCATGGTAACAACATAATTCAAGTAATGAATATCCTTTCTTAGAGTGTGGATATAATTTACTTATAAGTCTTTCGTCTTTATCAAAACCTTCTCTTTCTGTGAATGAGATGAATATTTTTAGGTCGTTATACATAATTGTTCTGTAAATTGTATTTTCTGTATGAACATTGAGATTATCTGAGTTATTTTCTTCAAAATCGGCGGATTTGTTTAAATTAATCCCATATACTTTATAAAATAGATAATTAAATATATTACAATACATAACCCCTTCAACGCGATATTCATCATATATGTGTTTTGCAAGTTCCAAATATTGCTCTGCATAGCGGTTGTTATAAGGGATAATATTCAAAATATTTTCTATAATCTTTCTTGGGCGATATCTCCGTGAATCAATCAAATTTGTTTTGATCATTTGGTAAATTTTGTTTAATTCTTCTTTATTTTCAGTATTCAACTGATGTACCGCATTGTATGTATCTATGTCGTATCTGAAGATCCGCTGAAAGTCAAAGTATTGCTCAGACATTAAAAAAAATTAAAAATTTATTCCAATTGATTCTTTTGAGAGGCTCTCAAATAACTCAATTGGAAAATATTTTCTATTCAATTTTGAGAGAATGATGAAAAAGATTCATAATTTTATGTATAGTTTACAAATATCATAAATTTTTCGAAAAAATTTGTGAATTGTAAACTATTCATAAAATTTATGAATTCCATTTTTCAGTATTTCGCACAACATTGAATTTAAAATAGTTTCAGCGTTTACTGCTAAAATTTTTAATTTGTACATCCAAAGTGAGCACTCTTTAAATTTCATTTAAAAAGTGTGCGTATTGAATTAGTTCAAATTAAATTTTGATACCCTGTCAAAATTTTGAATGAATTTATATCCAAAATAAATTCTGGAATTAATTTCGAAGACCCCCACCGTTATTGCTCCAAACGGAATCCCTATTATGATTGTTCGGAAAGTGCGATTTCGTCATTTATTGTTTTTTTCCAAATCTCCTAGATTTGCCAATTTTTGAGTGGAAAAAACCGAAATTCTAGGAGGCATTTTTTTTCTTGGAATAAGCAATAGAAATTATGTCATTTATTATCAAAAAATGGAATATTATCCAATTTCGATTTTAATACAACTAGTAAAGAATTCATATATTTTCAAAAACCGTAATTTTAGAAAACAAAAGTTAAAATTTAAACGTAAACAATAAATTTCAAAGTACGAATTAGTATCTAACAATAGGAGAATAAATTCTCTTCTTCTTTGAATTGATGCGGGAAGATAATCTGATCGGCGAAGTATTCTTGGAAAGATTTTCGACCATTTGATCTGTCTTCAGTCTTGGCAGTGCATCTCTTGATGAAACACGTCTCACACGTCTTTCATGAATGAAGTTTGGAATGCAATCACCCAAACCGACTTTCTTGATGATCTTATAAAGGACAGCCTCTTCAGAATCAATTCCATTTTCAATATCTTGCTTAGCGATTTCAATATTGATGCCAGCGTTTGAAACTTGGCGTTCAAAATCAAAAGAAATTCCCTTGAGAATGTATTGAATATTTTCAACAGCGCTAGCAAGCCATGGATGTTTCAAAACGTCAGCAGCTGATGGTCTCAAACTTGGAGATTTTGCCAACATCTTCTTCAATAAATCTACTAAGTTTGGAGAAGCTGAAGACGGAATATCGGGCTCATTATAGACAATTTGCTTTGCCATTAATGTAGCGTTATCATGATAAAATGGAAGTCTTCTGAAAATCATTGAATATAAAACGATTCCACAGCTCCAAATATCGGCTGTTTTATTGTAAGTGCTACCTATAATCATTTCTGGTGGTGCGTACGCTGGTGAACCGCATAAAGTTGTCATTGCTGTGTCCTCTTTTGGAATCTGGCTTAAACCAAAATCAATAAGTCTTACGTTACTGTGATTATCAAACAGAATATTCTCTGCCTTAATATCACGATGAGCAATATTCAAATCGTTGTGAAGATAATCAATGGCAAGCATGATCTGAGCAAAGAGAAACTGGGCATCTCTTTCTTGGAATGAATTCTTTTCATTCAAGTAATTCAGTAATGTGCCGCATTGGATATATTCCATTACTAGGTAGTAAAATTCTTCGGTAATTATTACTTCATAAAGCTCAGTAATGAACGGATGATGCAGCTTACGCAATATGCTGATTTCAAATTCAATTCTTGAGTCTTGTAAGCCATCTTCATTGTTTTCTAATCTCGATATTCTTTTAATGGCAACTCTATGGCTTGTCCTTTTATGAATGGCAAAGAATACACTTGCGAAAGCTCCGCTTCCAATCTGGTTAATTACAGTGTAGTTATCCAAATCAAGACGATCCATTTCAGCGTGTATTAAAAATATAAATGTAAGATTCCCTTTGATTATTCAGTATTGAATTTTTTGATGGTCACAAATTGAATATGGATTGAATTTTGTAAATTGGCCATGATATAATATTGATGAAAATTCCATATATACTCGAATTTTATAAAGCGGATAAAAAATAAATTGATTATTACTCTCAAAACTCTTTGGTTGTCAAAAAATTCATTCTTAAATATTCTCTGTATAAATTTATCAGATTGTAACATCAAATCATGTGAATGTCTGATAAAATACAATAACATACCCTCAATTTTTGACCTACCAAAAATGAATTAATATGATGTGAGTAACAATGGTAATAAACGCTTAATTACTAATATATTATTTCTTGGTAGGAATGAAATGTTTTGGTGACATTTATAGAAGTTAAGCTGAGAATCAAAAATGCAAAAATTATTTTAAATATTACAAGCATTATTTGATGTCATTGAGTTTAGAGTCGTGTAGATATATGTGTACAATATGTTATTGATGTATATATGCAATAACTGTGAAAATGAAATGTGAATCTCAAGATGGGTTGCATGTTACTGCGCTATAATTTGAATTCAATACGTACATAACATTACTAAATGTATTTTAAGATAATACAAAAAATTAAGCTTGCAAAAAGATATCGAAATGTAATTTTCATTAGATTCAAAGTTCTGAATAGATTTTGATTTTAACTATTGATGAGTTTGTCAAACCTCTATAATAATAGAATGTAGAACTAATTAAATATAATTAATAAAAAAATACAAATTTAAGTGATATTATAAGAGATATATGTGATGTTACCGAATTGATATGATATTGGAGAACTGATAGAATTGTGATGTGAGACTAAATATGATTTTATTATGAATAGGAGAATAATATTAGAAGAATTTCTTGAATTTAATGCATCTGAATATGTAATTGGGCATATATTATATATATATATATATTGGTAGGTTAACTAGAAATAAGAAGATGAAAGATTGTTAATGAATAATATGAGATTAAGCGAAAATATATTGTTCTAATAGATAGGTGTTGAGATCCAATATATATGAAGAGGGATATGTGAGAGGAAATATGTACATTTAATAAAATAAGCGATGAGAGAAAAAATAACAAAGATTTATATGAAATTTTGAGTATTGAAAAAGCTCGATTAGTGATTTTATGTCTGTTAAAGGAATAGATATTCTAGGAGAAAGATAAATTGAATTAAAGAAGAATAAAAAAAGTTGATTAAGATTGATAAAAATATTGAATTGTATGACAATGGAAAGAAGGAATAAATTGGTGTTGGTATGACGGTATCATTTCGGGAGACATTGCCTCTGCATGTCTCCCAGAATGGAACAATGTTCCGCATTCATAACTTGAACGCGGAAGTTTGACCGACAAGAGTGTATTATCCAATCTTTTTTGTCATATACCTCAACCCACAAAGACAAAACCTTACATAAAATAGGTAAACTTTGGTTTTCACTTAATAATGTTTATTTTTAATTTTTTGTTCTTTATATAACTTTTTCTTCTAATAAACTATTTTACAGACTCTACTGAGCTATCTTCACATATATACCTGTGACAATAACACATATATACTCCCTTCATATTCTGATCTCATGACATATTACAGCACAAACTATAATTATACAACATACTTCATAAAGTCTGATTTTACCCCTATCTAAGCGTTCAAAACCTATTTTCTCCGCGTAATCTGATTCTTCAGGCTCCGCTGATTCGATTTCTGCTGTCAGATCGTGAAAATATGCATCACACAATGAGATAAACACAAAATACACAACTTAATATTTTCCTTAAAATTTCTCTTCAAGTTCATACTGAAACAACATCTTTTTTTGAAAATACAATTTTTTCAAAAAATGTATGAATTCAAAAGTGCATACTATATCTAGTCATTACCCAACATTAATTTTGTATTTTAGTTTTTAAGATATTCATTTTATTATACGTCTTATTCAGAAAATTAAATATATTTGTGAGGGAAAACGGAGGAAATAATAAATATGTCAAGATCGAGGAATTGACAATTTTAAGGAAAATATTAAGTTGTGTATTTTGTGTTTATCTCATTGTGTGATGCATATTTTCACGATCTGACAGCAGAAATCGAATCAGCAGAGCCAGAAGAATCAGATTACGCGGGAAAATAGGTTTTGAACGCTTAGATAGGGGTAAAATCAGACTTTATGAGGTATGTTGTATAATTATAGTTTGTGCTGTAATATGTCATGAGATCAGAATATGAAGGGAGTATATATGTGTTATTGTCACAGGTATATATGTGAGGATAGCTCAGTAGAGTCTGTAAAATAGTTTAGTAGAAGAAAAAGTTATATAAAGAACAAAAAATTAAAAATAAACATTATTAAGTGAAAACCAAAGTTTACCTATTTTATGTAAGGTTTTGTCTTTGTGGGTTGAGGTATATGACAAAAAAGATTGGATAATGCACTCTTGTCGGTCAAACTTCCGCGTTCAAGTTATGAATGCGGAACATTGTTCATTCTGGGAGACATGCAGAGGCAATGTCTCCCAGAATGAGACACTGCGACCGACAGGAGTGCACAATACACTCTTGTCGGTCAAACTTCCGCGTTCAAGTTATCAATGCGGAACAGTGTCTCATTCGAGGAGCCCTCGAAAAGAACCTCACATCGACTCTCTCTTTCCGGCATCTTTACCGCATAGAAAACTGCTCGTTCGCAACTTTGTGTGCAATCTAAGAGATGATTGCGGTAAAGATGCCGGGAAGATTGACGCTGCAGCAGAGAATCACTACGGCTCTCTTTTACCGGCATCTTTACCGCATAGAAAGCTGCTCGTTCGCAACTTTGTGTGCAATCTAAGAGATGATTGCGGTAAAGATGCCGGGAAGATTGATGCTGCAGCCCCAGGCCGCACTCAGATTTCATCCCGCTACACAATTGTTCATCCAACAACTGTCATAGAGGTTGAAATTTTCGACCAGAAGTGAAACATATCATTTTTAAGACTGCGGCGCGCAAGCAAGTTTGAACCTTTCAAGGGTGATCAGTCCTTTACTCATTTCAAGACCTCTTGTTGCCTGATAAAACGATACTTCCTTCCTTGTGGGCCATTGAAAACCGCCCAAACCGTCACAACTTGCTTCCTAAATTTTATTTGCGGAGTAATTATCATGCATATTTTATCGGATAATAATATCAAAGCTAAATTTCATATTATTTTTTAAAGATATGCATTTTCTGTCTAAATTTATTTTTTCTGTTTCCAATTCACGGAATAATATTCTTACAAGCATATACATAGCTAATATATATCATTTTAATAATAATAAAACCAAAATGATGTATTCTTCATATAGTTATTTAAAATTCGTTAACTAGAATTGTATTCAGAACGAGGCAAAGTTAGGAGATACATAAAAACCAATAACTTGATAAGTGATACCTTTTTTCCTGATATATCTATATGTGTTAATGTCAAACACGATTTGGAAAAATTAATTCTTTAAATCGGCTTAAGAATAAGACCAACATCAAAAGCATGGCTAATAAATTAATAAATCAATGTTTAATTACCGATTCATGCATTTTTTTCAAAATTTCAAATTTCAAATTTTTGTTTCTCCAAAATATTAATTGTTTCCACTAGATTAACAAATAAACAATAAATTGGAATAATGTAATGCCCAATCATTCATTTTAAATTTTAGATTTAAAACAATATTTTTCTCCATATTATTATAACATGAATCGCTATGATATAAGAAATATATTTTCAATATTGAAATTGAAAAATTCTAAAATTTTTGAAATTCAATTTGAGTGTGATGATCGATAACATATATTTTTTAATTAAAAGATTGTGTCGCTATCATATAAATATACTATTTCTAAATTAAAAATAGAAAAAAGTACTATTTAATGATGAAATTGCAAATAATATCAATATATATATATTCATGCTGATATATTTTGGGAACAGATTGTCAATCACATAAATAGGATTGTGTTAGTTTGTCATGGATATAAAACAAATTTTCGAGCTAATTGAGCGAATTTAAATCACAAACACTTATATTTTCTATTACAAGGTATATTTGTAATATACAACCAGTAAATAGCTTTCTCTAACTTTTACCAGCTTAGATGATAGCAAATTAGATACGAATTTCATGACCCCTCACCAAATTCCACTAAAACATATACAAATAAAAGTACTAAGTGGGTATCATCTAACCCTAGAATTATAGCTCCTAGGACTCATCCTAGATGGTAGTTCTGGAAAAACACCTGGTTTTTGGAGTTGCAAAAGTTAAAAATTGAGGGTAATTAACTGATTATTCAATTTTTTTATAAAGAATTATTTATCGATTAATAATTTCAAATTTTTATACACAGTTGTTTTTTAAAATTATTTGCATCTTGAAATTTTGTGAAAGCATATAAAATACGATGATCTTAATTTTCACGTTGGTGTTATCGAATAAAACAGTTAAAAAAATCAAAATATTTTTTTTCTATAATCTTTAACCTAATAATTCATTCAATTTTAATATCGAAGATCCAATCTACAAAATTTAATTAATTGCAATATGATGAAGCCCAAAATCAAACGATACTCTTTTCGAATGTAAATGCTGACAGTTTTCAAATCTTGTATTCTCTTACTCCTTTATTTTTAATTGTACTTACATTATTAAGAACTAGTATCCATCACATTCTTGGACATATAATGTCGGTACTTGAAATGACAGAAAAAATATCATCAAAAAATCGCTTTTTTCCTTGTAAAGGCTGAAAATGAGATATTTTCCTAATATTTTAATGTGTATAATTTTATTCAAATGAAAATGATCAAATGTCATTTGTAGAACAAAGCAAAGAAATTTTCATTTACTGTTCCCAGCCAGAAGGCAATTAGTAAAGAGTTTCATTAATTTAACGATTAGATCTAACCGAATAAATTTCAAATTAGATAGGAAAAATATGAAATAAAATGGCATTTTATAAAAACAATTCACATATTATAATTAACTATAAAACATTCACATATATAAGCAATGGAAGATAAATATTCAATTCAAGCATATAAATGGCCCAAATTAGAAGATTGTAACAATTATGAACATCATTTGCAACATGGTCGTGAATGTAAATATATAGATACTCAAGTACAATCAAAAATTAATTACCCCTGCTAAATTTAATTGCAGTAATAAATCAAAGACTAACTTTTGTAATAATCGACAAAATATGATTATTATAAGCATGCATTTTCGTTGATAATTACTTGTTATTGCCATCATTAATCAAAACAGAATTTAAGCGATTATCAGATACTTTTCATGTGCTGAATGTACATTTGAAATCAAACGATTTCGGTTATATTCTACACGCCCCTAAATTTTAAAAAACCTTTCTTTTTATCGTTTATCAAATAATAGTATATAAACTGATGTATATTGCAGCAGAACTTTATGGTTGGTTTATCAAGTTTGATAGCCATTCAATTTTTAAATAACAATTTTTTTAATAACAATTTTAAATAACAAAAAATTTATATATTAATAGATTTTTTTTGAATAGTGACTGAAAATTGAGAACCTTATGTAGTCTTATATAAAACACGCGTAATCAAACAAGATGAGTAATATAATAAAAATTTTTTCTAAATCATTGAAAGTACATTAATTTGAAAATCCGAATATATAATATTATCTGAGCTTGATTATAATTTTGGATCAAAATCAAATTGATAAATTAAGGTTATATAAACCTCTTTCTTGTTCCATTAAGATTATGATAAACTACCTTCAAGATTCAACACACTGTCATCAACCTTGGTTCCCAGGACATTTCTAATGTACCATTTTGACTGCGACCTAGAGATATCGTTCAGAAACTGTTCTGAATATTTATCAAGAACTGTTTTCTCATCAGACATCAAATTCACTCCTAGGGCCAGTTTGTCACCTTGTATCTTAACACCTGATGCAGCAAGTAAGGTTGGAAAGATATCAAACATTGTTAAATGAGTATGAACCCGAGATTTCGGTTTAACAACAGAGTTTATAATGGTAAGAATTGCCCTACGTTTATAATGCATCGAATCAGCACGTTCAGCAATAAACCAATTCATTGCAGCGTGATCACCAACTAATAATATTGTTGTTTCATTGTAATAAGGCTGTTCCTTCAACCAATTCAAGAGATCATATATCTGCTGATCATTACACATATTAGTATCGATCATTGCGTTTCTAGATTTATTACAATATTTGCATCTGAAGCCAGGAGCATGTGTATCCATCGTAGTGTACACGTAGAAGAATGGTTTGCCTGTTTTGGATATTTCAGTCAAATGTTGCTTGACAATTTTGATTTGGGTGTGATCTTTTACCCAAGTTTTACATTTCGGGTCTGTTTCGCTCTTGGAATACACATTCTTACGATCAAAGCCATGCGCTGTATATACATATCCATGATTCAAGTCTTCAAATTGAGTTCCAAACATTGCCATATTTATATATCCGTTTTTCTTAGTTATATCACCAAGACACTTCATAGGAGGATAGAACATTAACTCTCTATACGATACAGAAGGGTCTACTGATTTTCCTGTTGGTGCTCCGCATAACATTGAAAATGTAGCGCCAAGAGAATAAGCAGTTGCAGTAATTATAGTAAGACCACCAAGTTTACCAGGCTGGCTGAAGAAATGAACGTTGTTTAGATCAAGAGAAAGAGTTTCCAAGTGAGGAATGAAAGATTCTTCAAAAGCACCTCCATTTTTCATAGATGCGAATGTACTTTCAACTGATTCGAGCATGATAATCAACATATTACGTTTTTGTTCTGGAAAAGTAATAATATTATCCGGAAAAACGTAATTATCTTGGTAAAATGTTGAATCTGTGTACCAGGATGGCTGGTATATCATGTAAGCGAAAGAGAAGAAAGATGTCATTAGAAGAAGTAGTAATTTCGTTGAAGTTAAGTTAATTGAAAAACTAATATTCGGAAATTCCGAGAAAAATGTAAATTTTGTATATGACTTGATGATTATACGATATCCGAGGTAGATTATTACTGTTGCTGCTGGAATCAAGTTTTTATAGAGTAACAAAAGAATAATGTCGATTTTTTCGGCGAAATTTTGTTTTCCTTCGAATTGTGTCATCATTTGTATTAAGTGCTCTTCACGTATTGGCCCAAATTCAGTGTAAGTGAACTTAAGAATACAAGAACCAAACGAAAAAATCAAAATGGCAAGAAATTTCTCGAATTGATGAATTATTTGTAGTCTTTTGTATCTTGACGATGATTTAGCTTCGATCTTTTTATCTTTCGATTCTTGTTCGTTTCTGACTGGAAAAGTTGCAAACAGAAATGCCAGAACTCCTGAAATATATATCTGGTACATCTCTATCCATCTCGTGAAATAGACGAATTGCTGTAATGCGACAGATAGAATCAAAATATTTGAAATATGAAAAACTTTTTCATATTTTGTTAAATGCTTGAAGTTCGGAGAGAACATGGCATATATTAGTACAGGATAAATATAATATGTCCTCGGATGCCATAAAATCCGCTTGAGTTTCATGTTTCAAGTAGATGTTCTCTCCTTTTGGATAATTCTTATTTCAATGTTTTTGAATCGAAAAAAAGACTATCCAATCTATGCTAGGATTGGTATCTCATATGAGCTATCTATTAATATTAATTTTCAAAGAGTATTCAAAACTTTTAAAGTATATTAGGTAATTAATTAGATTTTGTTATTCAAAAAAAGAGTTGCTTAGAGTCTGATTTTTGAGAGTTTTTTTTTATTTGAAAAGTCTTTTGATCGGATAGGAACATTAATGGCTATGGCTTTACCCTTTCTTTTATACTATGGGGTAACCATAGCTATCTTCAATGTATCCTATTATATGAGTACGCCTGAAGAATTGACGAATTTTTCAAAATTATTTCAGCGATTTTTAAAAAGAAACGCTATGCTAATAATATTTATTACGTGGATCATTTCTCACATGCTAATATACCCTTTCAATCTCGTTTTTCAGCCAAAATCATTCAGTAGTTCCGCATTTCTATTTTTGCAATTATTTTCTGCGGTAATCGGAGTTTGCGTTAGAGAAGATAAGAGATTAGATATGTTTAGTATGAAATTCTCCAAAAACTTATATAAAAAATACATAATTTGCGAATCTTCAATCTTTATTTTTCTTCTTACGCTTTTCATTGCCTTTGTAAAAAACATATACGAATCAGTTGGCCCAATGTACGAGGACATATTTTTCAAACTTATTGAACAGAGCTCAACGTATTCAGAAAATTACGGAGTTTTTATCACGTATATAAAAAAATATCTACTCAGCAACTTCATTTCTTCGTTGCTTTTTGCCATAGTATACTACAAACTCTCGTTGAAAACATTTATGTTCCGAAAAACGATATTTAAAGTTAAATTAAACTTTAAACACCTACCGTTGATATATTTACTCCCGTCCATATACTTATTCTCACAGATATTCATCCCTCTACCAGCAGTTGACCAGAATTCTTTGTTTTTCAAAAACGCGGTAATCGCGAATTCAAAACCTTTGACATTTCCCGAAAACAAGAAGAATATCATTGTTATTACCGCGGAATCCATGGACTCTACATTCTATTCTTTAAAGAATGGAGGAATAACTCCAGAAAATCTTGTTCCATTTTTCGAAGAATTGGCATTAAATCCAAATTACACGCATTTCTCGCATCAGAAGAAGCCATTATTAGGTGGAATGAAGACAACAAGTCGGAGTTGCCATACAATGGGAAGTGCAATGGGAGCTGTCTGCGGAATACCTTTTATGGGAGAGAACGAAGTTAAAGGGAGAACAACAGGATACATGAAAGAACTTACTTGTATAGGAGAACTCTTAGTTCAAGGTGGTTACACGACATCATCAACATTCGGATGTCCGTTTAACGACTGGGGAATTGGATATGTATTTAAATACCATGATTTCCAAAGAATAAATACAAATAACGACATGGTTGGCCAAAAAGAAAGAAGATTTTGGATAAATGATTACGCTTCTTTCGAATATTTCAAAAATGAAGTTACACAATTATCAAAAGGTGACAAACCTTTCTTTGCATTCTTTGCAACTCTCGATGCACATGAACCTGGCTTTATTTGCCCTTATTGTCCTCAAGACAAATACCCACATCGAATTTGGAGATCTGTAAAATGCACTGATAACAATCTCAAAAAATTCATGATGTGGGCGAAAGAACAGCCTTGGTATAAGAATACTGTGATTGTTATTTATGGAGATCATGTTTCTAGATCAGATTACGCTTTGTATGCTTCTTCAACACAGAACTATGAAAGAGGCGCGTTTAATGTTTTTATTAATTCTGAATTGAAATCGAATAATACTTTCGAAAGGAACTTCTCTGTTTATGACATGTTCCCGACAATTCTGGCATCCGCTGGAATCAAAATTAAAGGAGATAAGCTTGGTATTGGAGTGAATATGTTCTCTGATGAAAAAACTCATATAGAACAGTACTCTCAACAAGAATTTGAAGACAGCTTCAATGATGCCACTTATTGGTTTGATACGGCAATCCTTAATAAACCAGCTCAATGCGATGGGTTTGCTCCTTGCATTTCAGCTGAAAAAATAGATGTTTTTGTTAATGTTACTATTGTATAGAAATAAAGATATTTATAGAGCTATTTTTTTTTATATAACAAAAGCTTTATTCAGCACATTAGTACCTCGTAACACAATTTGGAATTTTCTAGTAGAATATATCTATTTACAAATATATCCCCTTATTTGGAATTTCCAATTAATTGGAAAAACCATTGAAATTGGAAAAATTGGGAGATTGGAATTGTTTTTATGTTGAAGAAGCATACAAAGCGTAATCAGATCTAGAAACATGATCTCCATAAATAACAATCACAGTATTCTTATATCAGTATGCTTATTTAATTCAATTAGAGTTGTTACAATTGTGTTACTTTTTCAATTATTAAATATATTAGCATTATTTATTACTTACTTTTTGAAAACTTTGGAAAATTTAAAATCGATTATTTAATTCAAATTTACGCATTTAAAATTTCCCTTTCAATTTTTCAATATTTAAAAATTCCATCATTATCATTATTTTTTTCATGAGTGAAGAGTATAATGAGCTTATGAATAAGTATAAGGATTATATTGATCTTACAGATGCAATATATAGGTTGAAAACGTTAGACGAAGATAAAATCAACGAAATCTATAAAAATATCAAGAGTCAATTTATCGAAAAAGGAATCATGACAGCACTTCAAACTTTTAAAATGATCGATACTGCAATGAAATATAATAATCGTTACTTTAAATCATACTTTTTATTACTCCAAATGTTATCAAAAGAATATCACCTTAACAAGGATAAATTACTAAACTGGTATCAAGGAAAATACAAAAAAATAAATATTGAATCCAAAAATTCATTACTCGGAGCAATTATGAATGATGATATTACAAAATTTGTTATATTGGCAGAAAAAGACGATTTTGATATCGATCAAGAAGTTATTTGTAGCATATATCCATTATGTTGTATGACTCTACTTGAATTATGTTCCTACTATGGTTCCGTTAATTGTTTTAAATTTTTATTAACAAATTTCAAATCAAAAATTTTAAAGCATTGTACCCCATGCGCATTTTTGGGTGCAAATCCAGATATAATTAGTAAATGCTTGGAAGATAGAGTAGGCGATTATGACATGATGGAGTTTGCAATAGCTTCACACAACATTGATTTTGTTTCTTACATGATGAATGAATGTGGTATAGAATTCAAATTAATAGAATCTGGGAGATTCAATAATCTTCATGCATTTTTAGTTTATTATGATCAAACAAAAGATATTAATGGATGTATGGCTGCTTCATCTCTTTTTAACATCCCATCTCTTTGTGAATATTTCATTTCGAAAGGAGCTGATATCAATGCAAACTATTATAGTTTCACAGCTCTTCATTTGGCAGCAGAAGAAGATTGTAGCAAAGCAGCAGAATTTCTTATTTCAAAAGGCATCAGTATGGAGTTAATATGTCAAAGTGCATATACACCTCTTGATGTAGCAGCAAAAAATAATAGCGTTGAAACAATGCGAGTCCTATTGTTACATGGTGCTAATGTAAATTCAAGAACTGACTTTGACTATGGTAGGACTGCATTACATTATGCCGCATCACATCACAATCAAGAGGCATTTGACATTCTAGTTTCATTTGGGGCAGATCTCAATGTTAGAGATGGTTTTGGCAAACTTCCACATATGTATTAAATTCTCTTCCATGCTCTCACAAATACATCTTTTTTTTATTTCTTAAATTTTAAAGTATAAGTTTATTAAAACTGGAGCTTACTGAGACCCAATTTCGATATTTTTTCAATAAAATAAAAATTTCAAAAATATTCTTATCGAAAATAGGCTATTGATTTTTTTTAAGGGTGCACTTACCACTTTCTGACATTCTCTCAAATTTTTTGACATCCAAGCTTTAATCATAATTTTCTAAGGTAAAAAGTCATTAACTTTGTTCGGAAAGAAGTTATTTTAAATCTCTACTTAGTACCTTATATTACTGTTATACTTTTTTGCAATCATAATAAAGATATATTGATACTGTGGGAGCATGTCAAAAAGTGGTAAGTGCACCTTTAAGAAATGAAAAATATTGTTTTGTTTCAGCTCCATCTTAATTATTAAATGAAAATATGATAATATTGTTTCAAACTATAACATAGCACTTCAAAGCTAAGGTATCCTCAATTTTTTACTTTTGCAACTCAATATGGAGAAATTTTTTCAAATTTGAGGTATCTGATATTGACTTAATTATTTTTGCCCAATATCACTTCGAATTATATCCTGGATTTTTCAAAATGAAAAAAAAGCCATAATTTATTTTGCGAACTTTTATTTAAATGTTATAGTTACCTAAATATAGTTATGGGAAAATCGAGGAAAACGATGAAATTCAAGGAAAATCTGACACCAAAATTGTTTTTTCTTTCCGAAGTCTTTTTCCTTATTTTGCTCATTTTACAAACTGAAATAAAGATGACATTGATTTATATAATGCATAAGATCCTAAGGATAACACACCTAAACCCATGTAACTATAAAGCACGTCATTTTCTGGTTCTTCTTTATTGGAGGAAGTATTCTGTACGGATTCGATAGCTCCATGCGATTTAAGGAGTTCAGCTATTTCCATTTTCCCATTTTTTAAAGCATAATAAAGGGCTGTGTACCCTTCATTGTCGGCAGCGTTAATATTAACACCATGTAATATAAGGCATTCTGCTACGTCTTTTGTACTCATTATTGCTGCCTCATGAAGTGCAGTTTTCCCTTCATTATCTTTAGAATTAATATCTGAACCATGCATAATAAGATCATCTATTATATCCATACTGTTATTTCCTGCTGCCAAATGAAGAGCAATTTTTCCTAAATTAGTTTTTGCGGTTGGATCTGCACCATGAGAAATGAGCACTTTTATCATCTCTTTACAGTTATGTATGGCTGCCAAATGAATGGCATTCTGACCATAGATATCTTTTGCATTAATATCGACATTTGACATTATTAATAACTTTCCTACGTGGATACTATTCCTTATCGAGGAAATGTGTAAAGCTGTTCGTCCATTTTTATCACTCGCATTTATTTCTGCACCATTCGAAATTAATAGATTTGCAAAATCTCTGTAATTACAATCAGCAGCAATGTGCAATGCAGAATAACCATTCTTATCTTTTGCATTTATATTCACTTTATTTGAAATAAGAACCTTTAAGACATCTATACAATTATGTTCTGCAGCATAGTGCAATGGAGTTCTCCCATCTGGATCATTATCTTGAATATTAACATCAGAACCATGGGCAATAAGAATTTTAGCAATTTCTTTTCTATTCATCCGTGCTGCTATATGAAGTGCCGTTGCCCCTTCATTATCCTGAGTATTAATGTCAGCACCATTGGAAATTAGAATTTCTACAATTTCTTTATTATTATTGATAACTCCAAAATGAAGAGCTGATCTACCTTTGTCATCTCGTTCATTAATCAAATCTTGAGAGCCTGAAAAATGTTTGCATAATTCTACATTATTATATGCAGTTGCATAATGAAGTAGTGTCCATTGGTCTGGAGATCTCGCTAAAATATTTATATTTTCATCTTGAAGAAAAGCATAACACGGTTTCAAAGCAGCACACCATGGAATTATGCAATTTTTATCTTTTTCATATACTAGGAGGAAAGCCTTCATGTTTTGAGAACTGATAATTGATGCGAAATTAATATCAGAAAGATTAACCAAGCCCATTTCAAAGATATTTTCAAGATATGTGTTGTTGTGCGATTCAATAATGTATTCCATGCATATTTCATCGATTGAATGATTCTTAAAACATTCATTGATGATATCAGCATTACCACCAATCAGGGAATATTGAAAGTCTTCCTGTGTAATTTTGGTATTTAAATTTGAAATCATGAAATTGAAAATATTAACTGAGCCAAAATAACAGCATGCTTGAAGAGGTGAAAGACCCGCAAAACCAGGAATAAGAATATAAACATCATTAATTGGATTGTTAACTATGTATTCAATGAATTTATCGACTTGATCATTCATGATTATACGGAGAATTTCATCCTCTTGTGGGAATTTTTGATTATATTTGATCATAGAATTATAGGATGCATCTTTGAATAAATCCAAATGTAACTTTTTAGACATATTTAATAAGAGTTCATTGCCCAGTTCAGATATTGAATTGGTGATTAATAAATTGTTAATAATATTAACATAACGTAGAGTGGATCGATAATTGAATTTGATTGCCATCAAAATGCTAAGAAATATGTCTGGAAAATTCACTTTGTATTTGGAAACTATAATATTTGTAATCAAATTTATTACATCTTCTTCGTTTTGGTCAGATCCCAAGTGGAAGAGTGCTTCATAGGCTTTAATGAAGTCATCATAGGGTTTAACCCGCTCGGAAGTCATGAACTTCTTTATTAAAAATGATATTCCGACATGGTTTTTTAAAGAGAATTAGATTTTAAAAATCCATTTTATCAAGGGAAAAAAAGGCTGTTGTTTAAAAGAAGAGAAGACAAAAACATTTAGTGGTGTGATTAGTGCTAAATTCTGGTTCTGGACAAGCTTAGAACGATAGATGGTGGGATATAGGTGGCGGGAGGGGAAAAATTGCCCTTACAAAAAGTATAAAATTTTCTATATTTTTTTGTTTTTCTGAATTTTTTTGAATAGTTTACTATCATTTCATCGTGATATTAAACGAGAAAAATAAAGAAGGAACTTGAAAAAAGCGAAGCAAATGAAAAATAGTTTCCATAATTGAAAGAAGGACATACAATTCCTAGTAATCCATAAAGTAAAGCATCTCTTGTAACATGGCAATATCCAAATTTATTAGATGGATAAAGTGGGATAACTCTAGCTCGTGTTAATGAAGGACAGCTAATAAAGAGATTTCTATCTTTGAAATCACATTTTCCGAAATAAACAATCATTTTAAGCAAAGGAAATGTAGAGAATGCCTGGTCTTCAATAGATGTAACCAATGAAGGAATATAAAACTTTTCGATTATAGCTAAATTCAAAAATGAATTCTGCATAATTGATGTCAGATTATCAGGAAGAAGGACGGTTGTTAAAGATTTGCATCCATAAAAGCAGAACTGAGGAATTACACTTATTTTTGTCATCGAAATATCAATAGTTTTCAGACTATTTGTGGCATGAAATATGTATGTTCCAATAGTTTCGATGCTAGACCAACCAATAAACTCTTCTATTGTTGATCCGCTCATTAGAAATTCACCAAGATTTATTATATTTTCTCGATTAGGAATCATTTCAAGGCTAAAATTTATTGGGGTTCGAACTAATGTGTTTTTATTCTTATTAAATATAAAGTTATTCTCTGAGCAGAAATTTGGATTGGATCTATCGACTTCCAATTTATTTAAATTAAAACATTGATTGAAAGCAGAGCCTGACATAATCACGACACTTGCAGGAATATAAATTGAAGGAATAGCAGAGTGTACAAAAGCATTTTGTGCCAAAGACTTCAAAGTTGAAGGGAAAATAAATGATTCCAAATTTGGAGTTAAATCAAACGCATTTCTTTTTATATGAGTAATAACTGTTTGGCTTAAATCTACGCCATTGCATTGACAAGTTGAGCATGCTGATTCTTCAATATATTTAAATGTGTTTGATTTAACAACAATAGTTCCTGTATAGGATCTATTAAATGAAATGATTGTATCAGCATTTGATTCATTGATACAATCATTCAATTAATTATATACTCCCAATGTTTAAAATCATTATTTTAAAAATGATTCCTTGTAAACTATCAAATCTTCTCAATTTTTCTGACAAAGGCGGAATCTTTTATGTGGCATCGTTGAGAAGATACCAAATATCAACAAATACTTTATAACATATGAATATTATAATTTGTCCACAGCTAAAATTGAATGTACATGAATACACTCACTTCGATCTTCAATTGAAGAAAATGAACATTAAATCTAACTCAATTAATAGATGTAGAATTCGCCATAGACAAAACTATTTAAAGTAGTGTTTCAAAAAAAAAGTAAAAAAAATACATAAAATTATAAATTTATAGACGTATTTTATGAGATAATTTATATCTTCACAGATGAAGATTGATCATTTGTAGAGGAAAGAAGAGGTTGGGATGACTTCATTATATCAATATCGTCTGGATATGTAAAACATGGAAGTCTGATGATCTTATTGTACATTAATGATCCAGTGAAGAGAAGGCTGAAGCCGGCAAGTTGGAGGAAGCTCCATCTTGTCCATGGTTCGCCAATTGATGGATGATTGTTATGCATTGCGTAGTAGAGGATGAGCTGGACGCCCCAGATGCAGAGTGTACGAAGACCTTCGAGAATTGTACGGTGAACAGCGGAGAAAACGTTTGTAACAAGCATTCCACCGATGTTATAAAGTAAAATGAAAACAATGTAAAGGACAATGAAAACCAAAATGATACTGTTGCTCTTAAGCATTGCGAATGTATCGATTAAGTCTTCGTGGACACCATTGCCTTCTTCAGAATGTGTAAATTGGACAATTGGGAAGCAGATTGATGTGCAAAGGACCCAACCCCAGAAGCCCTTAAGGCCAACGAGTTGGAGAGGGTGAGTATCTAAGTCGTGGAGAATGAAGTCTTCGATGACAAGTTGAGATGCCTGAATAATTTGGGCAACAATTGTTAAGAAGACGGCCATAATAACTCTGCCTTGTGAAACACCTTCCTTGCCAGCGCCTGTTGAGCATACACAAGCAACACCGACAACTGTAAGAGCAATAACGACAGCAAGGATTGACCACCACATGTATGGGAAGTGTGGACGTTTAAGGATGAATGCGCAGAAGAGGGATGAGAAAATAACCATTGAACCACGAAGCATCTGCCAAACAGAAGCTTGTATGTAAAGAAGTTGAACGTTCATAAGAGAAGTAGCTGAAAGATCGCAAATAGCTGGGAGAGCACCGCCGAAAATTAACTTCCAATTGCATTTCTTTGTTTCTTGAACTTCGGAATTAGTTTCCTTGCGGTCCTTCTTTCCGAGAATTAAATAAGCTAAGAGAGAAAGAGTCATACCCATGAACATTGTGTCTGTTTGGAACCATGGCTTATGGAATCCGTGATAGCCATACTTTGCACTGCCTTGGCCTTGTTGTTCGAACAAAAATTTCTGTGTAACGACAGTGGCAGTACCGAAAATCAGCATACCGGGAATGGCATAGATTTGTTGCCAGCGCGGAGCTTTAGTATTCACCATTCTCTTTAAAATTCAATGTGAAACCGCAATCAAATTTCATCGTTTTCAAAGAATCAACGATAGGATTTTCGGTTAACAAATTCGATAACTCCTCACTTTCATTTTGATCTCTTCCATATGCATGAGATAAGTGAGATGTCTATTATTACAAATTTTGATAAATCATGAGATTATTTGACAGAGTTAGAATCGGAACTATGTTGTGAACAATCATTGTGATACATCGATGAGCAGGGAACTAATGTAATGGTGCAATTCGAGTCCAGGACCATTTCCATTTCCATAATATTTATGAAAGTCATGTACGACACATTTTTATGAAAGTCATGAGATATCGCACTATGACTTATAGCAATTGCATTAAAATCTATTGAAAAATTCTTTCTGTTCTTTAATCATATTAAGAACATACAATCTTGTATAATGGGACCTAAAGATCTCGACTTCTCTATTGTTATTATGTCATTTCATATCTTTGAACTGTATTAATGTTCATAAATTATTTCCGAAATCTTTGAGACCATTGTTTTTCACATGTTTAACATATTATTCATTTCTTCTAATGAATTTAAAAGATATTTGTAAGAAAAAAAATATGCAAATGTGTCCTAAAAAATTATTGATGTCCGAACAAGACATTCATCCAAATAAATTTATCGAACTACGAAGTATCTATAAATATCACATCGATTCATATAATGCATTGTATCAGCTGAAAACTGACAAAGAAGAAGAATTAAAGCAAATTTACAAAAAGATCAAAACAGAATTGATCGATTCAAAGAAATATATGCCAAAAAGGATTATGGAAGATATTTTAAATATAATTCCGTATAATAATCGCTATTCAAAGTCATATTTGATTCTTGCCAAATTCATTTCTGATGAATATCATGTGGAAGAGGCCTACAATGCTAAACGTACTTCAATCTTCCTGTTTTATAAACAATATGGAATTAAATTAGCCAAAGATGATGACTTTGTAAAAGGTGATCTTAAAAATCTTGAAATTCACACAGATGATACAATATATAAAGCAATTATGTATAATGACTTGAAAACATTCATAATATTCACAGAAGGACATGGATTTGATAAAGATCAAAAACTTGAAAGTAGTTTATATCCAGATTCTTATCATGAATATTCATTACTTGAATTATGCTGTTACCACGGAGCAGTTGATTGTTTCAAGTTATTAAGAACGAAATTTAACTCAGAAATAACTAAAGAATGTCTAGAATTTTCATTTTTAGGAAGAAATCCAGAGATCATGAGTGAATGTTTGAAATATCAAACACCAGATGAACTTTGCATGACATATGCAATTGTTTCACACAACATTGATTTTGTCACATTCTTGATGAATGAATACGATATTGAAATCAATTTGGGAGTTTGCGCAGATTATAATAATCTTGAATCATTTTTAGTATATTTCGATCAAACTAATGATATTTGGCATATTAACAAATGTTTTATTTTCTCATTGATGTTTGGCATATCATCCCTTTGCGAATACTTCCTTTCACTTGGTGCCAATGTCAATATAAAATTTACAAAAGAAAATATTGGTTTAAATTCACTAGGTAGATTTTATAAATTCGGACAAACTGCTCTTCATATTGCAACAGCTTATAATAGTAAAGAAATAGTTGAACTTCTTATATCATATGGTGCAAATATCGATGAAAAAGATAATGGTGGACAAACTACTCTTCATATTGCAGTAGGTTATAATTGTAAAGAAATTGCCGAACTTCTTATTTTACATGGTGCAAATATAGGGTGTCCAAAGGTGCGTTTAGCACAGCGCTCTATATGAGACTATTAAAGGAGATATATGCTGATTATAAATATATAATAAAAATATGAATATATGTATATGATGAGTATGTTGTATTTTGGCGCCATGCCGGGATATAAAATGAATTTTGAGACAAGAGGCGGTTTCGCGGGAAATTTTGGCGGGATTTTTTTCATTTTTTTAATGAATCATAAAGAAAACATCCTCGCTCTTGCAAAAAAATGCAAAGACTGTAAAAAAATCTACGAGACATTGGTAAAATGCTTCGGTATGGATGCTCCTAGCTATTCCACTGTAACGTATCATGTTAGGATGTATCACTTCATGAACAAAAAGGCGCCCATCATAAAAATTGACAAAAAAATCGCCGGATCAAAGAAAAATCAAAGCAATTCTTCAAGCGCTAGATGAAGACCCAAGAGCATCACTCAGAAGGATAGAGGAGATGACAAAGATACCACGTACAACAGTCAGTTATTATCTGCACAATTATTTGAACTACAAACTAGCGTATACACGTTGGTCCGCACAACCTTAATTCAGTTCAAAAAAAATCTAGAGTCCAATCTTCGAAAGAGCTCCTCTCTATATTGGGTGCTATCAATCCAAAAGTTTCGCTTTTTAGTAACAGGGGACGAGTCTTGGTTTCAATATGCAACAGAAGCCAAAATCATGTGGATCCCGAAGGATGAAAATCCGCAAACATTCCCGAAGAAAAAAAATGACACACCAATGATGATGTTGTCGGTTTTTTGGGGCGTGAATGACATCATCGCAATTGATATTCTTCAAAAACCTAATACGATGAATGCTCAGTATCTAATTGACAATGTTCTTACTCAAATTATCAATTCTGATGAGTTTGAGAAATCCAAACAACAAAAACAAAAGTTTGCAATTCATTTTGATAATTCAAGAGTTCACAAAAGTCATAAGGTAATGAATTACTGGTGGAAAACAATGTCAAAGTTGTTCCAAACCCAATTTATTCACCTGATATTGCACCCTCTGACTTTTATTTATTCGGCACGCTAAAAAAGAGAGCTGAAGGACGCGAATTCGCGAGTCCAGATGATCTTGAAAATTTTGTAAGAGAGCAATTTGAGCAATTTTCTCATGATGATTTAAAGCGTGTCTTTCAAGCCTGGATCGATCGCTGCGAACGCGTGATTGAATCCAATGGTGATTATATTTAAATAAACTTTATATATATGTAACTTGTTTATTTCTATTCGCAGTATTCAGGTTTGTGCTAAACACACCTTTGGACACCCTATATTAATGAAAAAGGATATAATGGGTATTCTGCTCTTCAAGAAGCAGCAATTAATAATTGTAAAGAAATTGCCGAACTTCTTATTTTACATGGTGCAAATATCAATGAAAAAGATAAAGATGGGCAAACAACTCTTCATTATGCAGCATATAATAATAGCAAAGAAACGGCTGAACTTCTTATTTCACATGGCATAAATATCAATGATAAAGATAAAGATGGACAAACAGCTCTTCATATTGCAGCAAGTTATAATCATAAAGAAATAGCCGAACTTCTTATTTCACATGGTATTAATATCAATGAAAAAGATAAACAGGGGAAAACGGCTCTTTATATCCCAGAACGTTATAATTATAAAGAAATAGCCGAACTTCTTATTTCACATGATCCAAAAATCGATGAAAAAAGAAGTTATGGGCAAGCCGCTCTTCATATTGCAGCACGTTATAATTGTAAAGAAACAGCCGAACTTCTTATTTTATATGGTGCAAATATCAATGAAAAAGATGAAAGAGGAAAAACTGCTCTTCATATTGCAGCACGGTATAATTGTAAAGAAACAGCCGAACTTCTTATTTCACATGGTGCAAATATCAATGAAAAAGATATTGAAGGAAAAACCGCTCTTCATCATGCAGCAGAGAATAATTGTATAGAAATAGCAGAACTTCTTATTTCACATGGTGCAAATATCAATGAAAAAGATGAGAGAGGAAAAACCGCTCTTCATCATGCAGCTGAGAAAGGTTGTAAAGAATCAACCGAACTCCTTATTTTACATGGTATAAATATCAATGAAAAAGATAATGATGGACAAACCGCTCTTCATGCCGCAGCAACTAATTATTCTAAAGAAACAACTGAACTTCTTATTTCTCATGGTATAAATATCAATGAAAAAGATGAAAGAGGAAAAACTGCTCTTCATACTGCAATATGGAAAAATAATGATGAAATAGCTGAACTTCTTATTTCACATGGTGCAAATATCAATGAAAAAGATAATGGTGGAAAAACTGCTCTTCATTTTGCAGCATATTATGAATGTCCAGGAATAATCAAAATTTTTATTTCACATGGTATAAATATCAATGAAAAAGATAATGATGGGAAAACTGCTCTTGATATTGCAGCATGTAATATTAAATCTCTTATTTCACATGATGTAAATATTAATGAACAAAATAATGATGGGAAAACTTATCTTTCTTTTTCTGATATTTTCGAAGATTAATTTCATGAGAAATAATAAAAAAAATGATAATTCTTAATTCCCATTGATTCTAAATATAAAACATTTTTTCCTATATATTATCTCGGGACGACCTTTAATTATTAATCAAAATTCTGTTTCTACCTACCTACTTCTCATTAGAAAAAGTATTTTCGTTTCTCGGAATAACAAATATTAAGAGAGATTCTATAAAGAGAATAGGATTTTATTATATTTGTGAAGCATGCAAAATCTCTTGAAAGCGTTGAAATTTTTAAACGTTCACTAAAAATGTCTGTTTCACTTGGCGATTTAAATGATGCTGTTGTTGCCTCATTGAGGGAAACAGGAAAATTGGGACAAATCACTGCTCAGATTCGTGCAGAAATATATAGAATTCTAACAGAAGACCAACAAAATCATAATCAGATTCCCCTTTGTAAAGAAAATTTTATAATCAATGAGTTAATTCGAGAATACATGCAATTTAATGGATATTCAAATTCATTATCAGTCTTTTTACACGAAACTGGCCAACCAATTGATCCAATGAATAGAGAATTTCTTGCTCATAGTTTAGAAATAATACCAAACAAATCAGTTCCTCTTCTTTATTCACTTGCTGATCCTAATAGTAGAAAAGGAAGTAATATTTCCCAGGAAACGCCAGATTCAGAACCGAGCAGTCCTGAGAAGCAAAAAATCAATGCTAAACCTTTATACTACGATGATTCCGATAATGAAGGATTCTTTGAAATCAAATCATCCAAATAATATGATATTTGTTTATTTCTATCATAAAACTCATTCTTATTTGTTTGTACTTTCTTTTATAAACACTTGTTATCGAGTAAGAAAATATTTTACTAATTTTGGATCAAAGTTTAATACATTTACCTGATTTCAGAAAAATTATTAACATATTGCTCCGAAAAAGTTTCTTTTGGAGCATAAAGTTGAATCTGTATGAAACAAAGAAACGCAGAGTCTTTAATCAATAAATATTGGCAATATTTTTTTAGGCAATAAAATTTGACAAATCGGAAATGAATGGAACAATATTTACATTGAACGATTCTATTGATACCACAACAAGCTATACAGATGAGCTAAACAAAGATTTAGGACCCGTTTGTAAATATATCGTAATTTATCAACATCCATTAAATCAGAAGAGAGCATTCGAACTTCAAAATACTGTTGAAGACACGCTAAGAGTTGAAATCGATGATATTACGATTTTCAAGCATCCAAATGGCGAAAATTTAGGTATTTCTTCAATTGAATTTTCCAAAGAAGTTCCAATATCACAATTAAACTTACTTGAAAAAGAAAAAATTAACCAAATTTGTGCTTTTAAGACAAGGTCTGAATACGAGCAATTCATGAATATTCACTCTCTTGATCGTTTAGAACTGATCAAATTTAAGAGCGGCAGGACCCCATTAGTTTACATAGGTAATTTCAACGGCTCTGCAGACGACTTGAGACAAATGTTAAGACAATTTGGCACAATTACACTTGTCAGAGAGTTAAAAGCTAAAAACATTACTTATTTCATTGCTTACTTTGAGCAAGAGACATCAGCTAGCTTTGCAGTCCAAACTTTGAACCAACAAATAATAAATTCACAGAGCGTCCTCTGCCGTTCATTTTACTCCAATGCTTACCAAGATTTCTTTGCTGTACGTGGCGCATTAGATGCCGAAAGCCTCAAATCATTGTTATCCGACTATGGAAATATCAAATCATTCCAAGAAGTCCAGGATGGCGAGTCAGTTACATATATCATATCAATGGAGTCAGAAGAAATCAACAAAGCCTGCTGCATGCTCTTAAACGGAATCAAATTGGGTCATTCCAAATTTAAGACATTCTTTGTCGACAAGCAACGTTTCTTGAGTTCACGCAACCAAAGGATATAATAGTTCTACATAAAATGTTGAATAATAAATAATAAATTTTTACATTTTAATTTTTATTGTTTAATTCAGACTATTAAACATAAATTTATATATTTCTCTATTAAACAAACTCGAATTTATTTAAAACTAAGTTGATGAATTATATAGACAAAATACATTTATATTTTTGAGTTTAATTGTAAGCTTTGCTACGGCCTTGAATGGTACTTACTAATTTTTGCCAAAATTCGTGGTCTGGTTTGAAAATTTCGGTCAAAGGCAAAACCATTCCTGTGAAATCTGTTTTAGGGGCTTCCTGGCAGTATTCTAATGACATATGGAAATCCTGTTGGTTTGAGTTTGGTCCTAAAGCTTCCATTACAGCTTTAGCATCTTCTACAGTATCAAAGTCAACAAACGCATATCTTTGCTTCATAGAAATGTGCTTAACATATCCGTAAGGTGACATTTTGAAATAAAGCTCTCTATCTGTTGGACGCTTTCTGCCAAAATTAGAAACGCAAATTCTTGTGCATGGTGGATATTGAATTAAGCGTTTTTTAGATTCTGTTGCGAACATTTTAACGCCTTCATAAACGAAATTATCGAAGTGTTTGTTAAATGCTTCGAATTCTGATTTTGTATGAAAACGAACGAAACAATGCTTGTCGTAAACTTGAAGATTGTACATTCCTGTAAATCCTTCACGAAGGATTAAAGCTTGAGTGTCTTCTTTTCTTCCGTTTACTGGAGGTCCGAAGAAAGATTGATAAACTTCTTCTGGCTGATCAGCATCGCCATTATTTGGGTTCTGATTATAATCTCCTTTATCCTGTTGTTGGTCGTCATCCATTGGTCCATTTTGATCATATTGATCATTATTATTCGAAGTCATTCTTGGATGAAATTTGCAAACAAACCTTTTCAATTTTCACTTTTAGCTTTCATGATAAAAATGATATTAAATCTATTATTAATTTATAATCTAGAAAACAATTTTGTAAAAATTTTGTTCACAAAAAAATAATCGTTCTTTTTAAAAATGGCTGTATCTCTAGAGTTAATAGATGCATTTGTAAAGCCAATCATTGATGATGCAACTTGGGATGATCCAGCTCTACGCGATAAATCTGTTTTTATGGATTTAATGTGTGAAAGAAATAATGAAGATTTATGTGGTTATCCTAGATGCTCAAATAAGATCCCACATCAAAAGAAAATCGTTACAGAACCAATATTCTGCTCAAAAGCATGCTTTAAGAAGTTCCAACAAGTATTTTCCAAAAATAAAGCTGAAAAAAGGAACCCAATTGGCAAAATCGTCGAAAAATTTACAGATCAGCGTCCACCTAAGAAACTTACATGCTTCCATTCAGACAGAGTTGAAGGAGCACAAGTTAGAACTGGAGATTTCTCAGAAATACTCAATGAAATTGAGATGTGGGTAGGTGATATACCAGGATCGCCACTCCAAGAACTAAACTACAAACAGAAGGTTGTCAAAGACATCGTTCAAGCTGGTTTGAAGCAAATTAATATTACATTGAAAGATGTACCAGAAATCAACTTTTATTTCGTTAACTTAGATGTACGTAACCTAGATAAGCTCTCTAAGGCTCCAGAAATCTTCCAAAAAGCTTTTTCTTTCGCAATGTGGGAATTAATCTCAGGAACTGACATGACAAATGAAATTAACCATATCAGATTTGACATGGCAATATATGATGAATTGGTTCAAATTTTGGGTGAAATGGAACCAGAAGATGGAAATATTTACCAATTTATGTGATATTTATACGAGTTACATACATTATTTTGTTTATATTATTATTAAACTGCATTTTTATACAAGAATCTGGAATTATCTCTCAAGATTTTTTTTTTGCGAACCAAAGGTGTAGGAAAAAGTGAGAACTATAAACTTTAATACATTACTCACTTTAACGGTATGATTTTTCAGTCAAACAGGAAAAGAGAGTATGATAAAAATTGAGAGAATTGCAGAAAATTGTAAGTGCACGCTTAAGGGATCAGGAATTTAGTTTTCAAAGATATACGCTATCTATAACTTGAGCCATCTTCCAAAGATCTTTTTTAGAGTTTGAAATAGAGAAAAGATAGAGTATGGTCAATGTATGCTGTGTATACGTTTATTCATAAAAATATCATTCGATATCAGTATAAACTAAGATGGTGAACCATTAAGGGTTTACCTACACATTTTCTGTCATTCTCTCTTTATATACCAAATTTTCCATCTTGAATATACAATGACAGATTTCCTCGTAACAAGTAATCAGATGAATGGGAAATCTAGATTAAATAAGATAGAAAGAAATAATAAATTAATCTATTATCTACTTCTAGAACATATCCGTATATGGGCACGACGCCTCCCAAAAATGCCAAAAAGTGTAATTATTGTCAGAAACAATAGTTATGAATATTAATTTTTACGTTTAATGAAATCCATCTTCGAAAATATCAGGGAAAAAAAAGAAAATCATAATATATAGAAATATTATGATTTGGCACCATATGAACGAATAATTTTGGCAGTTTCTATGTTATTATTAGAATTTGCAAATGAAAGAGGAGTATTTCCATATCTATCTTTTTCATTGATATTTGCACCATGTGAAAGAAGAAGTTCGGCAGTTTCTTTACTATTATGAAATGCTGCTTTATGAAGAGCTGTTTCTCCAAATTCATCTTTTTCATTGACATTTGCGCCATGTAAAATAAGAATTTCAGCGGTTTCTTTACTGTTTTTCCATGCTGTTATATGAAGAGCGGCTTTTCCATCTTTGTTTTTTTCATTGATTTTTGCGCCATGTGAAATAAGAAGTTCGGCTATTTCTTTATTATTTTCATAGGCAGCATCATGAAGAGCAGTTTTTCCTTCTTTATCTTTTATGTTGATATTTGCCCCATGCAAAATCAGAAGCTCGGCTGTTTCAATACTGTGATTTTTTGTTGCTTTATGAAGAGCAGTTTCTCCAATAAAACATTTTTCATTGATATTTGCACCATGTGAAAGAAGAACTTCGGCTGTTTCTTTATAATTTTTAAGTGCGGCGGTATGAAGAGCTGTTTCTCCGTTATCATTTTTTGTGTTAACATTCGCGCCAAGCGAAAGGAAATGTTCACAAAGAGATGGTATATCAAATTGACCTGAATAATTTAAACAATTGTTAATATCATAAGTTTTATCGAAATAAACCAAAAATGCGCTAAGATTCTTATAATAGGCGCAAAAAGATATATTAATCTTCAATTTGTATTCATTCATCAAGTATGTAACAAAATCAATGTTGTGTGAAATAATTGCGTATTTCATGCATTCATTATTTGGTTTGTGAAATTTCAAACATTCCATCATGATCTCTTGATTTCTGCCTAAAAATGATAATTCGAGACATCTTTCAGTTATTTCTGAGTTAAATTTCGTTCTTAATAACTTGAAACAATCAACTGCTCCGTGGTAACAACATAATTCAAGTAATGAATATCCTTTTTCAGATTCTGGATATAATTCGCTTTTAAGTTCTTTATCTTTATTAAATCCTTCTTTTTCAGTGAATGAGATGAATTTTTCTTTCTCATTATACATAATTGCTCGATAAATCTTGTCTTTTATATGTTTATCGAGACTTTGATAAATATTTTTCCCGAAATCCGCAAATTTGTCTAATTTAATTCCATATACTTTGTAAAATAGGAAGTTAGAAATATTTGAAATTTCTCTGACTTCTGTTACATGATATTCATCAGTTATGAGCTTGGCAAGAGTCAAATATGACTTTGTATAGCGATTATTGTACGGAATGATGTTTAAAATATCCCTGATTATATTTTGGGGTAGATGTTTCTTTGAATCAATTAACTCTGTTTTGATCACATTATAAAACTTATTTAATTCTTCTTCATTTTCCGTTTTCAGCTGATACAACGCATTATATATATTGATGTAGTGTGCATACTTACTTTGCAGTTCCATGCTTTTGAAAGGATCAAGGTCAAATCAAGACATTATCTAATTTTAAATCCGAAATATTTTAATATTCATGTTAAACATCTTCATTATTCATTAGGAGACAAAAACCTATATTACACATGTGGAATATTAGGACCCCAAAGATTTAAGAATTAATTTATGAACGTTGATAAGGTTTATAGGTATGGAATGATGCAATAACAATAGTTAAGTCAAAACCAGTATGGTATTCATCAATATACTTAAAAGATTTTAAAATTTAGCTTTTCAGATAATCTTAGATTTTATTTAAATCAAATACACTGACTATATATAGCCTATATAAAGGTTTCACATTTCCTTAATTCTTTAATTTATATTGCGTTTGCATAGCAATTTTGAATGCCTGTAATCTGCTATACAAGGTCTGTTTGGCACAAAAAATGAATGTCGCTTTGATCTGTTCAAACCTTTCAATACACCATTATAAGAATCTTTAAAAATCAAGCAAATCTTTGAAATCTATGATATACCTATGTAGTTTGTTGCTATACAAGTGTTCGAGAAGATAAATATAAACAATATTTTGAAAATTTATAAATCTACATTAGTAGTATATATTGCGGGTTTTGTGACTTTTTTTGTAAACGTAAGAATTCATACATTTTTGAGCGATTTTGTATCATTTTTTTTTACATATGAAGTAAAAAATGTATGATTTTTACGGTTTTTATTCTTACGTTTTTGAATAAATCAAGATTTAAAAATTTTCAGAATCGTAAGAAATTTTCACTAAACCCATACATAATGAAATAAAAAAAATAAAAAAATAAAAAAATAAACTTTAAAAATTCATGTCTTACATTTTTTGAATAATTTATTTTTTTAATTCGTATGAAAATGAGTGAATCAAAATTCGTGACTGTGAATCAATTAATGAATAAACTTTCACCAATTCTCACCCATGTTAAACAAGTAGACGTTTATTTTGATGATTGCATAGAAAGTTTATATTATAAAGGTAAGTTTAATATTAAACCTATTGCTTTTGCATTTGATGGTAAATTAATCGAAAATTCAAAAATTTGGGAATTAATTCCGGATATTGAATTTATAACAAATATTAAGGATAAGTGGTTTAAACAACAAAACCTTTTCACTAAAGTTCTTTGTAGATTAATGATTAAAACTGAGGAAAAAGAATTTAACGGATTTAAATATCATCCATGTAAAATTTTAGAACTTGGTAACGAAAAACTTCAGAAAAAATTAAACGAAAGACTATCAAAAGATAAAGTTGAAAGAGTAAATAAACTCACTAAAGGTAATGATGATGAAGATGAATTTGATGAGTTCAACATTGAACTTTAAGAAACTAATGATTATTTGAATTTATGAAATCAATAATTTGATTTATTCGCTCTTCAATAATTTCTATTCTTTTTGTTAAATCATCTATTTTCATTAATGAGGTGATTCTTGATTGAGGAATAGATTTCAAACTAACCACCCCTTTTATTTTTGAAATTTTGAATCCATGACCCTCCGGGTCTTGGACTCTGTCCTCAACTTTAAACATTTTATTCAATTTACACGTTGTCAATTCTTCAAATAATTTTTTATTATTAGCATAATAATCATTAAATTCTTCAACAGATGAAAAAATTTTTATTTCAGTAATTGGTTTAACAACGTTTATTTTTTGTTGAACATCTTCACTTTCATTTATTTCTTCCTTCTCTGTTTCATTTATTTTTAAAATCGGTTTCATTTATCATTAAATAAAAATTAGAATATAAGTGATGAAATATATTTTTTAATTAATATTAAATCAGAGATGGCGGCAGGATTCTTTAAAAAATTATGGGAAGGAATTAAGAAAGCTGCAAGTTGGGTTCATCAAAAGATTATTAAACCCGTTGCAAACTTTTTGGCACCAGTAGCGAAAACGGCAGGAACTATCATAGGAGGAGTATTAGGTGCTAAAGCAGGTAATCCAGCGATGGGAGCACAAGCAGGTAACGCAGTTGGTGGAATTGCTGAAGGAATACTTAATAAAATAGGAGGAAAGTAGTGGAAAAATAAATAAATATTATTTTTATCTCAATATCGGTTGTAGTCGACGATAAACCTTATCTCCTTTATTTAATACTTCCCTTACCGGAACATTAGGTGCTATTTGTTCAGCAACGTCACTAATTGCTTCTTTATTCTTAAATATCCAATTTGCTCCTTTCTTAATCCCTTCCCAAACTTTATGCGCTCCTCTTTTTACTTTATCCCATAACTTTTTAAAGAATCCTGCAGCCATAGTTGATTATTTCATTAAAATTAAAAATTCATTTTCATCTTTTAATTTTGATTTTTTATTTATTAATAAATGACGACTAACTATTTGGTGCCAAACACCAAACCGATTAATGGAAATGTGTTTCATTCATTCGAAAAGATAAATGAAATATTCGCAAAGAATGATGGAAGAAGATATTATAGAGAACTTGAAAGTTCATGCTATGACTCTGATGCTCCATATTTTGATGATAAACAAACTCATTTAAGAATTACAAATCCGGCTCATGATGTGAACCAATTAGGTGACACATATATTAAACGCAAAGTTAAAGCAACTCTAGTTTCAAATAAAGCTTTCACATGTGATGCTGCTTTTAAATGCATGCGTTTATTCGTTGGTTACAAATCATCAAATCAAAGCTTTAAACAATTAGAAGTAGAAACCGAAAGAGGTGATGCTGGTTATCTTCAGATGGATTGCGCCCGTGAATCTTTCGCATTTGCAACATATAAACCAAAATCAGAAAGGAAAGTTAAAAAGTTTGTTCATTCGTTATATAATAATGTTCAAAAATATGATAACTCAGTATGTGGTAAATATATTGACCCTTCAGAAGTTTTCAAGAAAGCAAATGAAGAAGTTGATGTCACTTTTGATATGATTATTCCGGTAAATGATTTGTTAGCATTTCAGGCGTTCGATGATTATCCTAAATCATTTGGTGAAATCATTCTTAAATATTATGTTTTCAGGGATACTTTAGTATTTTGTCAGGTTGACCCGTTAAGAGTTGCTGATTTACAAAATTACGTTTATGAAAAGATAACTGATGAAAATTATGAAAAGATTATGAATCATGTTTATAAATATGATCGCAAATTCCAACAAATCGGACTTTCTGCCAAATTAATTACAGCTTAGCCGCTACATCTGCTGACGCAACAGTTGATGACGTTATTATTTCATGCACAAAGATGGAAGTTTTAGAGGATAAATGCATTACACCAGGATACGGTTTAATTGAAGAATCAGTTAAAGCAATACCACGTTTATTCAGTAAGGAAGATCCATTCATGATTCCAGCTCAACATATTGACGTTCGTTCACTAAATGGAGGTTGCATCACTCCTGAAGGTATTAGCTCAGATTTCTCATACGCTCTTCATAACGTTACAGATGTTGTGTTAACATTTCCGAAGAATGCAATGCAAAGAACAGTTTTAGAAAATCCAATGCTTCGAGGTCTTCAGGTCACTATAGATTCCAGAAACTTCCCCGATCAAGCGATGACCACAGTGGGTGACATATTCTTTACACGTATGCTTCAAGCTTCTGATTTAGATGGAGTGAATGAATGCACGGAAGAATACGAGGACTCATTAACTAGACCACTGAATGATATGATGGCACACCATTAGCTAGAACATGGAAAGACCAAACTTCATTCTTATGCACTATTCCAGTTCAACGTGATGGAGCGGGTATATTCTTTGATGGATTAGAAACTTTCAACTCACAAGTTACAGTACAAGTGAAAGCTTATCCAATCATTCAGGGTGAAAATGACACTTACTGTTCAAAGGTGACAAATCCTCCTCAGGTTTGGTTTACTAGGACTACATATTGGACATGGACACCGGACGAAGGTTTGAAATATCATCCAACAGGTACACACCACAGTATAGAAGTTCATATGATGAAATATTGATGAATAGAAATGTATAAAATTATAAATTTATTTTTGATTAAATGGATTTAAATTCATCCACCCCTTATGAAGAATTAGCAGGAGTATATAATACATACGTAGATGATATGATTAATGAAGCATTGAGTGATAATAGAAATGCTCTATCTAAGGAAAAATTAATGAAAATTCCATATTCTGAATGTTACTTAAATTCAATCACTGCAGCAATTGGTAAACAAAATAAAGGTAAAACATTAACGATATTAAAACAAATTATCATTATTGCTAACACTTCACCCTATTCACATGTGTTAATTTATATCAACCGTTCAGGTTCACCTTCAGATGATACATTTGAATCTTTAAAGCATTTAATCAAAATTCCAATTATTTATTTATCACAAGAAGAAGCAGAAGATTATTTAAAAAACTTTGTAATGTATAAAGAATTATATAATACAATCAAGAAGCAAGGATTAGAGGATAAAATTATTGATAAACAACGGGATGAATTATTTGAAACACTTTCTATTTCAAATTTTGATAGAGAATTTTTGCATTCACTCATTTTTCTAGATGATGCGGTGAAATCAAAACTAATAACTAATGAGAAATCATATTTTAATCAATTATTAACTCAATGTCGACACATTCAGTGTTCATTCTTCATGGCTGTTCAATACTTTAAAGCATTAAGCACAAACATTAAATCAAACCTGTCCACCCTTTTCATTTTCAGTGGTTTTAGTCGTCAACAGTTGAACGTTATGCTTTATCAAGTGAATTTACCAATGAGCATTAATGAACTTTACACACAATATCAACAATTAGGAGAACATGGAAAAATAATAGTTGATTTAAATAAAGGTTCCATTAAATTCGAATAACTTTTTATAATTAATTTTTATTTTTTATTTATAATTAAACATGACAGAAATTGCAAATCTTCTACAGGTTCCATTAAAACAAGGAACAAACAAAAAGGGTGCATATAATAGAACTATGAAAGTTCCAGACGGAATGAAAGAATTAGTCCACATT